TACAGATCAAGATTATTCCCTTTTTGGACGATTCTTGACTGTGTAAGCTGCTGCTAAAATAAAATGCCCATTTCAGTCTCACAGAGGAACAAAACTTTGCTGCTGTGCTCTGAATGCAGTACTTGGCTTGATTAACAAGCATGTCCTGACTAGGGAGATAAATAACTTAATGAGGCCCAGGGCTGGGGGTAAAATTCTTCCTTTTTATGGTTGCAAGCAGAGCACAACAATGATTCATTAAGTGAAACAGAATGAATTTGATTTTCTTTATACAGTGGCAGTGCTGTATAGTCTAGGGACATCCAGACAAGGAAATCTGTCATACTAACGGATATTTTTGAAGGGTGTGGAGGGCATAATATAGTTTATGTAATGGCTTGGAAGTGGCTGATCTATATATATGAGATAAAAATAACACTATTTAGTGCTGAAATAGTGCCACTGTGTTATAATGCAATCTTTTCTACTTGCTTTGAACAGTGTGTTTGCCACTTTTAAAAGATCATAGTAACAGGTCATCAGCACACCCAATACTTTTTGTTAGATGGTGGATTCTGAGAATTTGCCAATCTGTTGATTGTGTCTGTTTTGGCTTCCTACTACTACTAAACCTCATATTTTAAAAATGAAATTTTATTTGCTTCAATTTATTCTTATTAATCTGGATTTGAATTGTTGAGGTCTTCATTGGACTGTCATTGGTTCTGCAAGTGCTTTTGTAATTCTCCCATCCAGTTTTCTTGTGTTAAGGACCACATGGTATTTCTGTAAAGTTCCCAATTATCTGTGAGGATTCTATCTGGATTCTGTCATAATGGGTCATCGGTCTTCAGTATTGTCCCTCGTGCAGATCAGGTGGTGATACTGCCTAGCTGGAAGTTTTTTAGCATGCTGACTACTTGGCTATAAAGTCTGTCTCTCCTGCCCCATGAAACTTGAGATCTTCTGATCTGGTTGTTACAGGTCTCCCTGGTCACTTGCCACAGCCTCCGTTATGAATCAGTCTTTCTACTGAGGCTCTCGGTTTCTTCTTCAAGTTCTAGTTTTTGCTGTCTTTGTAACAGCAGGCGAGAATCCTCTTGATATTCTTCAGTCATGCTTCTCAGATGACCAATTGCTTGGTTACATCTCCCTGCCTCCTCTTTTCTCACCTCTCTCTTCTTTCCTCTTCTGCTCAACTTAACACTTTGAGACACCTCCAGGATATGTTGTCCTGGCTCGATAACTAAGTTTGAAATGTCCTTCACTTGCCAAAGCTTGCATTAGTCTTCTTGCTTGCTGTGGTCTTTTGAAGAGGAGAATAGTAAAAGTAGGTGGGCTACATTCAAAATGAGACTTACATCAAGTCTTTAATAGGTTAACCTAGTGTTTCAAGTATTAAGTAGGATTCATAACTTCATAGATGAGCTTCCTAAATATCAACTTAATTTACTGGCAGAAACTATTTGGCAGATTTGGCTATTTGGCTGCCAGGTAAGTTGTAACAAGTTTGGATGACCTGGATAAAAGCTGGGTAAAAATGGTACTTTTTGCAACCTCTTACTGCCTTGGTCTGATATGTTAGCTATCACTTGGGGGGTGGGTTATTATATTCTGGTTTGGATTTTTTAATATATTTAGTCTAAAAAGAGAAATATATTGTTTCAAATGAATCACAAAGGAAAGGAATTCATTATGACAATGTTAGCTTTAACTATTTATCTTCAATTACGAAGCTGACTCTGTTTGAGCTAGGTAGCATTCCAAACTAACGCAAAGAATTTTCTCAGCATATCTACAAATCAATATGAACAGTAAGCTGTGCTGAATTTCTGATTACTGTGTTCGTCCCTCTTTTATTCAGTAGCACCAGTAACTTGTTTTCACATTTTACCTTTACAGGGAGAATTGTTTCTTTTAAGCAAGTGTAAAATTGGTTAAGCTGCAATACTCATTTAAAAAAAAGGAGTTGTTTGTTGTTTTCTCCAGGGCAAAAATAATCAAGTCATAACCAAGCACTTAAGAAAAAGTTTATTCCATAGGGGAAGAGGATCATATATGAGGGTGTCTTTATTTTACACTGTGAAAGGTGCAGCATTGATTGCTCTGTTGTATTCTTAGCAAGAAGCATCAAGTTAGGAAGGAGGGTTTTTTCTGCAAGTCTGTAGTATTCATGTAAACCTGAAGCTTGTCATATTCACTCCTTTAACATGAATACTTATATCAGATGAACAAGAGGAAGAAATTGTTGCCTGTTCCATCCAAAACATTGCTTCAAGACCCCAAAAGTGAAGTATAGTATCCTTTCCTGAAGTGTTTTTTGTTCAGCTTTGCTGTTTTGCCACTGGCATCCTTAAACGTGTCAACATATGACAAGTCAATAATGAAAATCATAGTACTTGTGGTTATGTGAGTATTAGGACAAAGGGAGGCTCTTTGCTGGAGTTTCTTTCAGGATTCTTTGAAGCCAACTGCTTTGTTCTGATCTGATTATTGTAGTGCATTGATCAAAATTACCAAGTGGTACTGAAATAGATGTTTGGTAATGTTAGCTTGTTTATCCAGTTTTCCTTTGTTGCTTCTTTCATGCTTCAACTCTGTTTTGCTCTTCCTTGATTTCTCTGCCATGATATGTGGTGCTTTTTTGCTGCTGTCAGGAGAGCATGATATTGACTGTTAGAGTAAAACAGAGACAATATTCCAGTCAGGTTCAGGGTTCCAGTAGGAAGCACTAGAACCATCTTCTGGTGCAGGAGAGGAGTATATAACTTCTTTTAAGGTGACAGTGTATTAGGATCTCCTTTAAAACCAAACTAGGCTTTAATGCAGCATTTGCTAAAACCTGCATATTTCTTACCTGTTCTGTGAATGTGAATTCAAAAGAATGCAGTACTTTTGATCTGTGTTCAGGCTGAGTTATATATAACCTAGTGATAGTATTGTGACTGCAAATGACCACATGAAACTGCTCTGATTCAGTTAGTATAATTGACATTTTGTATCGAGAGGGTTTATTTTGGACATCGCCAAATATGACAAGTTTAAGTATGTTCTTAACAGGCACCACTGGTTAACTCAGTACAGATAGCAAGCACAGACAGGGCAGTACTGAATTTAAATTAGGCTGAACTTGGTAGAGTCGAGGATAGGAATAATCCTAGTTTTGTTTTGTCTTGTATTTTTTTTTTATGTGACTGACTTACCTTTCAGGAATAAAGCTTGGTTTGCTTACTTTATAATATATGAACTTGCTCCAAGTATGATTTTATCATTTGAGTTGCATTGTATCTCAGACACAGCAAGTTCTTTTAGATTGTTGCATTTGCATATTAACAATTTAACAAAATTTTACCATTTCATGTTACAATGAGTTGAGAACCACTTTGTTCCATTTTTTGTTCAGGTATGTGGGGGACTCTGGAGAAGAGCTTTGTTGTTCAGAGGGGTCTGAATTGCCTTACCAGAACAAACCTTGTCAGAAGTGAACCACTGTTGTCAAAATTCTTTTAATTATAGCTGACCTTAATGAAAAGGGGAACTGTTACTTTTGCTAAATGGCCTTGACAGTGTGAGCTATGTAACTTGCTTTCACACTGAGAAACCTGATTTCCTTATGTGATGAAATAGCTGGTTCTGCAGATGAGGGGATAGCAGCAGATGCTGCAGACTTGGTTGGGAGCAAGTGAGGTAAGGGAGGTCAGAGAAGCTTTTGAGAGGGATGTCAGCATCCAGAGGAAATGGGCTGGCACACAGTTCAGCCAAGGCGAGCACAAAGCACTGCAGGTGGGGGAGACTAGCCCCATGCACTGGGAGAGGCTGGGGACCAGCTCTGGGGACACCAATCCAGCTGCCTTCCTGAGCAGCCTCCAGGGTGCCCTTCTGGCAGACCACCAGATACACCCTCAGCTGTGCTAGCACCAGCTGAGGGAGATTAATCCCTCTATTGAGAAACTGTGGGATTGCATCTAGTACTCATGGAGGAAAATCCTAATAAATTATAGTCACACAGAAACAGTTTGCCCCCAAAGGCTGCAATCTGTCCTTCAGGATACTCACAGCTCCATCAGACATTCCTCCAAACAACATATTCTAATGGCTCTGCTTTCAGCTGGGTGTCAGAAAACCAAAATTGCTCTTTCTTGCTCTTGGCTTTCTGCCTGTTATGCCCCTCAAGAAGCAAAGAGCAAAATTGATCATCTTAATATGACAGGCTGCATGCAACCCACTGTAGGGTAGAATTAGGTTGCAATCTCTTAAGCTACCCTAGGCTTGAGAGCAGAGATCCAAGAGGAATTTGGTTTGGGTGTTGACATGAAAACCTTATTAGCTACTCTGCCTTAATGTGTGTCTGAGTCCCCCAGCCTTGACTGAAACGAATAGAAGCCTTTTGTATTTTAGGTGGAGATGATTATTTCATCACTCTCGTGAGTTTTATTTTGAAATCACTGTTTGTAGGTATTCGTGTGGCAAGTAGGAAAACAACTTTTTGACTAATGATTTTTAGTTGCGTAAATGATGTCTTTAAAATGCATAGTTCATGTTCCTTTCAGGGCCATGTAAAAAGCAATATCCTGAAGATACCTGTAGATATCAGTAAGGTGGCAAGGCAGAGAAGTTAAAATAAAGGCTAGAACTTTCAAATTTACTTGCTTTAGAAGCTGAACTGTAGAGGTGAATGTCTAAAAGATGAGTTTTCAGTGCCTTAATTATGATATGCTCTTCACGCTTCTATGTTTGGAAAATATGAATGTAAAATGAATCATATGATGGTACCATAGGGAGGGAGTGTCAGTCATAACATTTTTATATTATCAGAGAATGATGGTGTGCGGAGTCTAAGTTCCAGTTGTTAATGAAACAGTAAATTTTAAGGAAAAAAGGCATGCTTTGAGAACATGCAATTCATATTAAGGAGAATAGATGTAATCATTAAGGAGGGTGGTCTGCTAGTGAAGAATATAAAATTTAAAATTTAACGGTTGTTCCTGAATTTTTGATTGTTTTCTCCTTTTCCTAAACAGACTTTGTTGGAGTATGCAGAAAAGTGGAAAACATCAGAAGACCCTCTGCCTCTGCTGGAGGTGTACACGGTGGCTATTCGAAGTTATGTAAAAGCACGACCTTATCTTACCTCTGAGTGTGAAAATGTAGCCTTTGTGCTTGAGCGTTTAGCACTGTGAGTATATTCTTTTTCGTTACTAAACCCAACCTGTACGGTATTAACTTTGCACTGCCTAAATGCTTTCCCACTCTGGTGTTAAAAAGGTTGGGAAGCACCTACCTTCGTCATGGTGGGTGCTGTATGTGAGAGAAAATATCTTTGGTTATTGGAAATGAGGCAAGAAGGACTCCTGATTTAGGACAAACCAACATTCCTGGCTTGAAACACTTTGCTAATATTGATCTGCATGCAATCTGAAAGTGCATCAGTTTACACAGGCTTTTACAGGGTTGGATTTGATGACAAATCCTTTTTTTTTTTTTTAATGGTTTCTTTTAGAGAGTTTGCTTTCACAGTTTCTGCAGGAGTGTCTGTGACCTTCTTTTCTTTATGCATTCAAAGAAAGCAACTTTTGTGACTGATGTTTCAAACAAATAACTGTTTGGATATTAGAATAAAGAGTTGTTAATTATACGTTAAAAAATTGCCTCAAATAATTCTCCCATTTGACTTCCAGAAGCTGTATTGAACTTCTACTGTGTCTGCCTCTGGATTTACCTGAAAATAAATGGGAAGAATTTCAGGCTTTTGTACAGGTGAGTTTGATTCATGGAGTGAAGTCTTAGTAGCTTTCCAGAATCGTTTAGAAACCTAGGAATGTTGAGCATGTAGCATGTCTGTAAAGAGCAAAGCCTTTAGCTGGAAAACTTAGGTACTCTGCAGTATTGCTGAAGGTCATGTTCACCTGCATGCAGCAGCTGTGGAGAAAAAAACATTTACACATTATTGAAAGAAAATTCATGTTTTAAGATGTATTTGTCTATTAACACTCTTAAAAATGAAATATCATACAAGTCATTCTTTACTATATATGGTTGTACATTTGAAACTTATTGATGAAAGGCCTCTTGATACTGCAGGGTTCTTATATCTCAGAGAGGGCACTAGCTGGTTAAGGTTAGAGCTCTGCTTTAAAGGAGGGTGTTGGAACAAGTTCTGCTCCTCAGTATTTATCAGAAATATGTAGTGGGAGGTCCTGTCTACAATTCAGAAATAAAAAAAAAAATTGTCCTGTCTACAGTTTAGAAGAAAAGGGGATTGCGGAGGAGGAAAGAATAATACTGAAAAAGACCAGATACAGTTACCTCAGGATTCTCAGCCTAAATAACATGAAGATGCAAGGCTGATTATTTTATAGTGAATGTTGACTACCAACTGCCTGATATAAAACAGTTCTGAAGAGGTGTGTTTGCTGAGGTGCTCTAAAGCCTTCAGAGCAGGTCAAAAAATAATAGAAAAGTGAAAAGAAAGATGTGAACCTTTTCTTGTTTTTTTTAAGGACCAGTGTAAGTTGTGCATTGCTTCTTCAGCTGATTTTGGCAGGTACTTAGTTTGCTCCCAAGTGTATGTCTGCTCCCAGATTTATGCTAGTATATAAATGCAGTGAAAAGTATTTTAATTGATTTTAAGACTCCAACCTGCTTATTTGCCTAGAACCATGCAGTGAGGTCTTACAGCTAAAATCTTTCACAAGTACAAAAATATTTTTTCATTGTCTCCAGCACTTAGAAATTGAGCCACTGAAGCGTTTGAAAAGAATAATAGCTTAGGCAGCTGGTACCAGACCAATACGTGGACCAGAGGAGTTACTCGTCCATTTTTAAAAGAGAGACCTATTTCAAAATTTAGTTTCAGAAATTTTGGAAGTAGCCTTGTTAGTAAATCTCAAGGTGAGTTTGAGGCACTCTGTTGTTTTGGTTTCTCAGCCTTAATCTTAGGCAGCAGTGGCAGAAATAAGATCTGTATCAGCTGAATGTTAAGATTGGTTTGTTATACATTTAACTCTCTGTCTGGTAAGGGGTTATTTTTTCCACACAAGGTATAAAGGAATATGAAAGACTCATTAATAATGTCTTTTTAACAATACTTTGTTTTGTAAAATATATTATTCAGGTGGCTCATAAAAACTTGATGGAAAATGGCAGCCGGGAACTGCACATTTTAACTACCCTTACACAAGAGAAAGGAGTGTGGAAGAACCCAGTATTGTGTGGCATTCTTTCCCAGGAACAGTTGGACCCAGATGAAGGTAAAAATTAAAATTATGGTTCGTATAAAATATACCTCATTTTTATAATACATTGAAATGTTATTATGATACACGGAAATTTTTTGTTTCATATAGTTTGTGATAGTTTATAAGCTATATAAATAGATATATGTGTAGCATTGTCTGAATTATTAGGGCATTATGTTCATAGGAGTATACAAGTTATGTTGGTATTTTGCACAAAACATAATCATACCTTGAGATCTCTTGCAATTTTCTTTATAAGCCATGTGAAGGCAGTTTACATATAGGCTAATTTACAGTGGGGTAAGTTCAGTACTAGAATACAAAAATTACTTGACATAAACAAAAAAAAACCCCAAACTGTGTATGTGTGTGTGTGTATATATATATATATATATATATTTGAGAATAGCATTTACTCAGTTATGAAATGCCAAGAGGGCCATCACTGAAGATTCATTTAGACCTGAGTTCTGAGAATGGCTATAGAAGTTACTTAGGGAAGGGTATGTAATCAACAGGGCTTACAGTGATACTGTCCTCATATATTATTACCATTGTTGATGACTGCAATTCAGAAGTGGTATCCTTGTGTTAATAAGTCTTAGCTGGTTTTCTGATTCTGTGCCTAATTGGTTTTAGAATCTTTAGGAAGTGTCACACCTGAGCATCTGTCAGAGCTGCACTGTTCTTATATCAGTTAAACTAGTTCCTCTTACTGTCTGCCTACCTTTAGTCTGGTGCCTGCTTATTTCATATGATAATCTCTAGTTATTAAAAAGTAAACAATTCTTATGTCTTTTAATGAATGCATCATAAGACATGATTCATTAGACTGCTATCATATCTTCTCTCTTCCATAGTGTCTGTTCTATACTATCTTCTGGCTTGACTGTCTCATTCCTCATATGGGAAATGAAAGGTTCAGCTTGTTACACTGGGTTGTTATCATTTGGCAGATTTGATTAACTCAAGTCTTTGAGTAATGGCTAGTGTAAACATTTGTCTGTTGGACGTGAAATTTTAGTTGAGATTGGAAGTGTTTTTCCTGATCAGCTTAGACTTTTGATGCCTCTGTTTGTTTCAGTTATTCCTTCATGGGTTTTTTGTTTTATTCCAGTCTTAGTCATCTCAATTATGACCTATTTATTCAGAATCTTTGCCATAAGTGGGTATTTATTAAGTTTTAGGTCAGTGATTATCTCTTATGGAAGTCCTCTGTGTTTGACTCCTGAAGGACAGTTTACCTCTTTGCATCTCCTGTAGGAAGTGCAGCTAGCTGTCTGTTTCATCTCAGAGATAGATCCTTTTGAATTCCTTTATTTTCAGTTGTAAAAACTCAGGACATAGTGTGAGATAAGTTCATGTTCTCTGACTGCACAGCGCAGCTTTCTCATTCTGATTACAGACGAGGAAATGCAGGCTTCTTTGAACTGGGTGGTTCTCTTGCACTCCAGAGTTTTGAGAATGGTCTATTGCATGGGCTCCACCTAAATATGAGCAGGAAATACTTGCTTCCTAAGATGTTAGGGAGACTGTTCTCTGAGTTGCCATGTCATTAAATAATTGCCTTACTGCCTTGGGCACTGCTTGGTTTTCTGATGAATGTATGTTTGTAAGGATTTGTGCACTAAAGAGCTTGAAAAAAACCCTAAAGATGGATAGCCAGTTGTTTAAAGCAGTGTTGAGAACAGCATGCCTGTCATTGATTTCTTTGCTGATGAGTATTGCTGCATTACTACAAGGTGTTGATACAGTACTGTGATATAAAATAGAAAAATCTGTCTTGAACTGTAGTGCAGGAACTACGCACATACAGTAGATACAGATTTGTGGTTTTGTGCACATGGAAGGTCTTTTCACATTGGAAGTATTCAGCAACTTGTTTGGTCACCTGCTTGGGTGACAAACATTGGCATGGCCCTGGATTTTTAGTCCATGACAACAGAAGTTGGGAAACGCCACTTAAGTTGCCAGATTCTATAATAATAAATAAAAGAGAATCTTCTCTTGGGAACTACTTAGTGCTGATACCCTACTTGAGTTGTTTCTGAAAATAGTTTATCTCTCTGCTTTGCAAGTGAAACATGAGCATTGTCATTTGTGACTGTACTTGTTCCCACAAGGCTAGTCTGTATTGTATGGAGGACTAGCCTAGAAATGAGTATTTGGATCCCTGATGAGCTGAGGAATATATTTTTTTTTGTTCTTGACTGGTGACTCCAAAGAATATTTATTAGTAGCAACTGAATTGCCAGTAGGGTCTTTGGTTATCATCTGTGGGCCTCCTGAGTGCACATTTGGAGTTGATAGCATTACTTGTGACTGCCATCTGAGAGATTTCCTGAGAAACTCCTTCTGAGTTTCCCAAATCTGTTTGGTATTGTGTCATGGATCAATCTATATTAATTTAAGAGCTTCCAGGCAATTTTCCACTTAAGAATTCAGTGCTGAAAGGACAGATTCTTCCCCCAGTTCCCCATATCTTCTTTCTTGCCTCTCTTTCTTGCCTATGTCTTTAGCCAACAGGACAACAATTATGTGACTAGGCCTGCAACTTCCTTACTCAGATTGTGGTTCCTCAGCAGTATTACCTCTTAAAAGTGTGCTCAGGATGTGTAAACTACTTGTTTGTTCATGTGAATTTTCTTCTTTTCCACTTGAAACCTATCTCCTATGCTTTTAAAGGATATTTGTCAGATTTGGAGCTTTATTCATGTAACATCGTAGACATTTTAGACTTGAAAGATCACCCAAAATTGCATAATCCTGTTGGGTCACAGGGATAGCAAAGTACCAGGCTTCTCAAATAACGTTTCAGAGATCCGCTGGGAGCACATTGGTAACATTCTTTGCTGTGGAGCACCGCTCTACCACTTTCCGTCAGCCTCACATAATGGGAACAACTACTCTCAGTACCAAAGCAGAAAGAAATCTGGAAAGAGATATGAAAATAAAATCTCTTATCCACTCCATTAAATTCAAGAAGGCAGTATTAGCTGTGATCACTGACTAGTCCGAAAGGAAATGGTTCACCTGCTCACGCACTCATCAGCTGTTTCCATGTTGCTGTCAGACATTGCATTGTTTGCATGCTGACTGGAACTGCATCTACTTCAGGATTCACCTGCATGACTGCTTTTTCTTTTGACATTGCATATGATGAACAAGAAGTACACGTATTTGGAAGGAGGAATTTTCCACATTTCTCCACTGCATTAATTGGTTAGGGAGGGAAACCTTTCTAAGGTTATCTTACTTCTTCACATCATAGTGTGTGTTTTGTCTTACTGGACACCTCCCGAACTACCAGATAGCCTAATTTGAGACCAGGACTGATCTTATTCTAGAACTAAAGCTGAATTGAATTCATGACAACCAAAAATTAGGTTTTGTGAAGTTGTGTGGTTGTCTGTCCGATCTGATTTCTTAGTATGCCATTGACTGAAAGTGGAATTACACCTCAGTGTTTGGGGTTATGTGGTAGCCTATTCAATGCTGAAACACTCTACTACTGCACTTCCATCCTCAGTTTCTGTCAGTGTGGCTTGTGCTGTTCAGCACAAACCTGTTCTTCCATCCTTGAGATTGTCATTTTCTTGTAGTGATGATGTAGTCCTTCAAAGCTGTCATTGGTGTCTCCTCAGCTGGTACTGAGAGTGAGTGGAGGAACTGTCTAGAGGAAAAGGAGCTCGGATAACCCTGCAAAAAGCCAGGCTGCCACTGTTTTTTTGATACCTGATTCTGACTATCCTTAGATATATATCCAGACTATATTCTTAGTCTGGATGCCAAGAGTTAAGTTCTTGAATTTTTCAAAAGTGTAAATGTAGTAGGGAGGCTTCTGAAGAACATCCCACTGAAAAATGATCAAGGATACTACCATTACTATTCGGAGATTATCAAGGTGGAGAAAAGGCAGAATTTAACAGCCAGCATGGAACTATTTTCAGTAATCAGAGCATCCAATCACCAGAAGTTTAATGATACCAACAGCCTCACTTTTGAGAGAAACAAAAAACCCAGTGTTTTCATTTGGGGTATACTCAAAAAAGCCCTCTGGACTTTTTACCCTTCACCAGACAGTATGCCATCATAAAAGCATCTGGGATTGGTGCTGACTTCAGCAGAATTGTGCTAATTTGTTGTTTGTATGAGGGATTCTGAGTTCCAGCTTCTGGTAAATATGAAAGTATGGAGTCCAGTTCAGAGTCACCCACAGTGCATGTGGACTAACACCTGAAGATGACTAAAGAGGTTACTGACTAGTAACTGAAGTTCTTTGAGGTGGGTTGTCCACATGAAACCCCCTGGTTTCATCCTTCTTGGCCAGGGCAAGGCTAAGAAGACATAAAGGTCTGTAGTAGATAAATCTATACTTACCCTGCAATTGATGAAGGGTGGCGTAGTAGGATTATGAGTACTTTATAAGGCAAATGTTCTTTGTTTTGTGCTCTACGAGTCCTCCAGTCAGCCAAAACATGACATACATGTGTGGACTGAGAACCTGTTGCTGCAGAATTATGCATGTGGGTTATTCCTGCTCTCATCTGCTGCTACTCTATGGATTACTTTTTCTCTCTTTTAATCCATGGATAGTATAAGCATTATCTGTAATAAAAGTTCATAGTCATCCTCGCAGGCTTGGCGTGGAATCCTTGGTTAGTAGGACCTGATATGCCAGCTGTGGGATTCCAGGGAGTTATAGGGAAACTGTGTCTGAAAGGTTATATTCCAGTAGCCCCAAGTTAATTTGCTAGAGTGAGTAGATCATAGTACCATCTGTCAACTGTCATTTGCTTGTCTTGTTTTCTCTCATGTTAGTTCTGTAATTTTATATGAATTCTGCACGTGACTTGCACAAACGTGTTTACGAATTTCAATGAGCAGAGGAACATTGCACTAAAATTACGTTTAATAATTTTCCCAAGAATCATTCCCATTAAATACTTCAGGGTTTGTGCTCAATTCAGTGACTTGTGCTAGAAAAGCACTTGTGCTTCAAAGTGATTTTATGAATTTACAATTGTCAATTTGTTACAATTTGTCTACAATAACTTTTGAAATAGACATTGCAAGATAAAACATATTTATTGAACGTTAAAAAACAAAAAATCCACAAACCCCTCAAAATCTCACCGTTAAGACTGTTCCCCATTATAGATTTACTCCTGTAACCTTGGCGCTGTTTTTATCTAAAAATGTCATCTGTAGTTCAGTTATGAAATAAATATAATTAAAATTCATGTTTTGAATGAGCTTTCAAATGTTAAACTTCATAGTTATAATCACTTGGATTAGAATAAAGGCTTAAGAGCTAATATGTAGCTTTAACCCTGAGGTCTTCCTATATCTTGTTGAGAAGATAACAGAAAATGTTCTGATGCTTATGCAACACAGGCTGGCTGAAGCAGTAAACACTAAAGGAAGGGGATTACTGAGTTCTAGCAGGTAGAATGTAGAGTCTAAATTGTTAAATGCAGTAATTATAATAATAAATCAGAGTGAAACATCTTGGGTTACCGATAGCTTAAAGTCTAAGGTCTTCCTGTATCTTGTTACAGAAATAAGGTAAAATGTTCCAATGTTATTCCAGGCAGACTGTCTGGGACTAAATGTTGTGGGTGAACGGATTATTGGAACCTAGTAGAGGAAGAGCAAGGCTGAAACTATTGAATGTAGTTAATCACTGGGTCATTTGTGGGTTGACAAGAGTATGAATGTTTTTTGTAAGGCATTGGTAATGACATTAAAGGAACATTCATCTGCTGCTTAAAAGGCAGATGTCCTCTAATAGATACAAAAATGGCTGCTGTCTGCCTGTTGTCTGTTAGCATACTCTGGTTTTCCTTTGTTCCTACATGAATAAAAATCTGGTCATAGCTCATCAACATGGGGAGAGGAAGAAGGAATTCATATTTAGTTTGAACATTCTTACACATCAGTTAGTTATCACTGATCATGTGTCCCAGGGCACAAGAATCCTGAACAAATAATTGAGAAATTGGTTGGAATGATAATTCAACTATAAATCTGAAAATGCATCAGAGATACTGATGGGGTCTAACAAGCCTGATTTCTGCAAAAGGCTATATATTCTGCCCTAAAATTTTGTGTGCTGAAGTGATAAAGAACACAGTTGACCTAATTTTGATTTCAAGATGGCCTTTTAGCAATATTCTGTATAAGTAGCTAAAAGACGGAGAAATCATGAGATAAAAAACCAGTCATGAATCAAAAACTAACTAGGATAGGAGGAAGCAAAGAATAAAATGAGATAATTATTTGTCTTTTAGTAAACCTCATGTTTGATATACTAAGACTCCAAATACTAGAGACACAGTTTTTCACATGCTGAACATACTTATTTCATCAAGACCAAACAGGACTTTTAAAGTCAAGACAAAATAAATTAAGTAAACAGGTAACATGATTCCATTGAAATTAAGAGCTAGTAAATTAAGATGAATATAATGAAGGTTTCTACCAAGATGTGTCAGAAAGCGAGCACTGCAAATGTCTAGAAGGTTTTGCAAAGGAGAGATGAAAATACTCAAAGGCTGGAAAAAAGCTCATTTAGAAAAGATCAATATTTTACCCTATTAGTGAAAGTATATTATGAATCTGCTGTTTTTCATGAAAGAATGGAAACAAAAAGCAGTAGTAAATTCTGCTGATTTTAAAAGATTTGAGAATATGTCATGAAATTAAAATGTGGATAATTGAAAACCAAAATATTTTTTTATGCACTGTATATCCATTTTGAGGAAACAGTTGCCACAGGGATGGGTTGATATCAAAAGAATTAAACAAAAGTGATTGTCTAGGTGTCTGGTTTTAATGACTGACTTTTAAATATTTTGAAGGTAGTATTAAACCTCGTGCTTCAAAGATGAAACCGTTTTGGTCTTAAAGATCTGGATTAGACACAAGATGTATATTTAAGAATGGGAATGTTAACCTGTGCTCCCCTTTTTTGTAGGATTCTTATGCGTTCCCCTAAAGCACCTAGAGTTGAGTTGTTAGCATAGACTACAGTGTTTAACTCTGGTAGGAGCATATCTGCAAAATGCAGGTAATACCCATGTCTTATGAGTTTTAAACTATGCACAGTCAAATGTATACAAGATAAGCCTCTTTTTGTAGGAAACTTATTTGTATTGAAAAACTTGTAAATAAGTTTGACTGCATTCTATGGATGTGTATATGAAACATGTAACACCAACAGAAAGCAGTTCAGATTCTTCTACACTTGTCACATATATCCTTTAATAGCAAGATCTTTAAAAGGCAACTATTAGTAAAGGTGTAGTACAAATGTACAAAGGATGTGAGAGCAGTGGCTTTGTGTTGCCTTTCTGTAGAGCTATAATTAAATGGTATCTAAATGTTTTATTATTTATATGCTTTCTAAATTTGTTTTGTGTATCTGTTTTGCCAAGAAATTAGATTTAATTAAAACCTGCAAGTAGATACAAGGCCTGTGACAGGGAATCCTTATGATAAAGAAGTACAGTTCACACAGAACCTTCTCCTCATCTTTCCTTCATACCTTTTGTGCCTATTTTGATTTGTATAAATTTTAGGGGGTCAACCATAAATGAGTAAATGTCATCTGTTAATTCTGTAACATGCATTTAATGTCTTGGCTTCTTTATTTTTTTATTTTTTTTTTAAGTGAATGAATTTTTAGTGTCTGAAGGCCCTGTCCTGCTGGATATGCGTATTAAGCACCTAATGAAAACAAAGCAATTAACGCAAGCTACTGCCCTGGCAAAACTCTGCTCTGACCATCCAGAAATCAGTGCAAAAGGCAATTTCAAACAAACCTACCTGGTCTGTCTTTGTTCAGGATCACCAAATGAAAAGCTAATGGAAGAAGTAAGTAAAAAAAATGAAGAATTTTTTTTTTTTAGGCTCATCTCTGTAATGATAATAAAGTCACTATTCATAGGCTTGTTTTCTGTAGAAGAGGTTTTTCTCTTAAAATATGATCTAAAAATATTTTTGGTATTTTGTTTTTTTCTTTTCATTTAAGTCACTTCTAAGCTTAGTCGTCATGACTCAAAACACTTGTGGAAGTGTTAATATTAGTTTGCTAATAGGCATTTTCTGCTTGTAGGCATTTCTCTGCCACAACTTTTTGGATTTGGCTTGAAGTATTTTAAAACTCTGCCTCAGATCGCATTAGTAAGATGAAGATAATGGTTTTCCCGTTCTTACTATTTTAGCTATAGCTTTTTGTGTGTCTAATACATAGAATGAGGCCCTTTAGATGCTACTTGCAGTTCAGAGAATAAATGTAACCTCTTTTGACCCAAATTCCTGGGTGCGATTGAAGGTGAAATCAGATACTTTATCTGGTTTGTAATATAAATCCTTCTAATTTAAATTCAAAAGTCAAAGAGGAGATGACAGCTTTGCTCTTTTACATTCTTTCAGGTGGCATCTTCATTTCTCATCCCATCCCAAAGTTTTAGCTGAGCTTTTTTTCCTTCCTAAAGGATAATTAACTGCAATTGTCACTTTTCTTGTCTGTCTGTATCTCTACTGTCTTTTTGTTATTGCTGTCTTTTTATGTTAATAAAAAGCGTTAAGCATATTGCAGTTGATCATAAAGAGATGAAAGCTATGCCATGATTGGAGCTGAAAAAGTTTCCTACCCAAGATACAGACTAAATTCCAAGATGACAGCTTCTCACTGAGCATGTTCTTCAGATGCTCAGTAGGACTGGATCTGTCTTGCTCTCCCAGCTCTAACTGCTGCAAACCCTGCCAGAACAGGCTCAGGAGTTGCTGTGATAGGGCTGTGAAGTCTTATCCTTGTTTTCTGAGGACATTCAATGGGACTTGGAATTTATGAGCCTGCAGATACACTCCCTTCATTACTCAGCCCCACTGTGCTCCCAGAGCAGAGTGGGTTCACCGTTCAGTGAATGAACTGTGAATCCCCAAAAGGAATGGGGTAGCCTTGTTTCTTTGGGTGCCATAATGTACAGCTAAGTTCAGACTGCATCATCAGAGAACCTAATTCAGATATTTCTAATCTTTGGATTGCTTAGATTTGCAGCTTCAGCTTGCAGCGATGTTTCCAGTATGACTAACCATTCTGGAAAGATCATGTATTACCGAGAGAAGGCAGATATGCTTTAACATGTCAAGGTGGACTTATGAACTGAGAAGGACAGTCATTTTGTAGTATGAGAACAGTGAGAAAATGGTAAAAAAAATGAACTGTAAAAATGTATATTAGTGGTGGGGAAAATTTTATATCCATTAGGCAGAAAAGTAGCATTTAAGCTCATTTTCAGCTTGGGTTAGTCTAATAGTTTGCTTCAATAATGTGAAGAATTCAGATCTGCAGTATGTGAAATGCTAAACTGACAGACTTGATGGATGGACCTACATGGACCTTTGTTGGAAACTAGGTCCCTTAGGAAGTCTGAGAGGCTGGTAAAGCTTTTCTTGAAAAAAATTCCTTTCTTGTAAATTCAGTTTGCTATATTCTTCTCTAAGCTTTTAATTGATAGTCCCTGTCTGAGACGGGGCACTGAGCAAAGCAGATCTTCAGCCTAAATTGCTATTACAGTTATGCCGTTCCATCTTAAGAAATGCAGTTTTCTTTAGAAGATGACTTTGAGGTTATTAAACCTCAAATGATGTTCGGTGAAAGGTTATGAGTGTATTCCCAAAGTGTCAATTTAGAGGTAAAAATGAGGAGTTGTACTATTCAACATTGTAGTTTGATTGCTGGAGCAGTAGCTGGACACCACGGTGCCCAGTGCAGCTGTGCTGCCACATTATCCAGAGCACTGAACCACCTGGGTGTTTGGGTGGGCACTTCTGGTTCTTGCTTTGGGTGGTCCTGTGATTTCTCAAGAGAGAATTCCAACAGAGGTGCTGGCCATGGTCAAACTATTCTTTAGCTGCTGGTGTTAAAGAATGAATACTAGCACGTCCTGCCAGGTGCACTGATTGATGTAATCAGGCCAGTCTGCTGAGAATCAAATTAGACAGTAGTTCTTATAACAATTGCGCTGATTCAGTACTGATACAGCTGTCTCTAGTAATAGTGGGCAACTGTGGTTTTTCCTTTGATCTACCATGAAACTGAGATCTTAAACAAACAAATTATATTCTAGAGACTGCAGTGTTCTTCTAGAAAAGCATTCAGTTGACCTGCTTCTTAATGTACAGCTTTCCTTTTCCTTCGTATCTTTGATTTTTTTCTTAAAAATACTGGAACATTTGTGTTAAACCTCAGATCACCCACCTGTAGTATTAAAGAAGTACTAACATCAAGTAAACTGAGTTGGAATTTCAGGTAGTTTTATTTCTGTATTAGGCTGCAATTTAAAACTATAAATCTGCTTATCATAATTATAATATTAATGTAATATATATTAATAATTAATGTACTTCAAAATTCTTAGGTTACTGGGACAGTAGAAACAAGTTTATATTCATTTTAATAAAACAACTTTTCTGGTGGCATAGTCAGTTTTGACACTCTGTCTAGAAATGTACTGATTTGGTTTTTAAGTTTATCTAAATATTCACCAAGTTTTAAATTAGTCATTTTGCAAAGGCTCAGATGACTGAAAATGTGAAAACACTTTCTTAGTCTTGTTCTTTTCTTTCCTGTTATCTAGATTGCAGAAGTAGATTGCAAAGATGCTCTAGAAATGATCTGTAACCTAGAATCTGATGGAGATGAAAAAAGTGCTCTAATTTTATGTGCAGCCTTTCTGTCTCGCCAGCTGCAGCAAGGGGAGATGTACTGTGCCTGGTGAGTTTGAATCTTGTTTTTTGTCTATTGGAACAAAAATTTAGTCTGGGAAAGTTAGAGCTGATACATAATCCATAAGTGAACTTTCTTCAGCTGATAAAATCTGTGAGCTAAACAGGAAGGAGATAAGGCTCTTGGACAGCTGAAAAAGAAAAAAGGATTTTGCAAGATTACCTTTCATTATGAGAACTTGAAGGCCAAACATGTGATGAGTGAAATACCAATAACTGGTTAATAATTTTTCTGTAGAAATAAGGAGTTTAATATCTGCAGGCAACTAGTCGACATTATGTCAACATTTAATGGGTAAGTACTGTTCCCATCTGTCCTTCTGTAATAACACAGTGTTTCTTTTTCTAATGCACTTTTAATAAAGAAGGAGCTCTTTACTACGTTTATAACCACAGTAATAAGCTAGATGAAGATACTTGTTGTTTAGGGCTTGCTTTCTTTAATGTGGGAGTAAATAACTGGTCTTTGTTGGCAGATATTTCAGCTGTTAGAGTCTGAATTTCCATCTGCTAACTTGCAAACCTGTACAATTCATGAAGAATTAGCTTTGTTTGTGCATCTTTTTATGTGCAGCAGGAGGAGAAAACTGCTAATGCAGGATTTGCTTTAAGAGATTCTGCTAAAGGTTAGGCACCATTCCACAAGGTGCTAGGAATTCTTGGCTATTTGCACCTTAGGAGGAATGAAGTAGTGAGATAATGTAGATGATAATTACTGTTTGGTGTTGGGGGGTAATTTCTCACCAAATCACAGTCAGATTCAGCTCTTAAAGCGGAGCAGCTTGAGAAAAAAAAATGCATCTACCACAGAGAAAAGACAATCTTCTGTAGCAGTGTCGTGGTTTTGCCCACCAGCCCATCCCTGGGGCTGAGGATGGTTTTGTCCAGGTGATTTCCGGACAAAAAAACCAATCAAAAAGTTCAGTGACGCCTTTGCTAATTACATCTTTAAGAAAACGGAAGAGAAGGTTGGTGGCGCAGTTGAAATTAGGAGCAGCAGCCATGTAGAAGAGTAACGGGCCCGAGGAGGGCCAAGGCCCCCTCCTCCCCGGCTTGGGCCGGGGGTGGGGGCAGGTGCAGCACTGAAGCCTCTCTTCTCTCTTGTGAGAGAGTGAAGAAAAAAAAAGGTTTAAAAGACGAACTGCTTAGACGAGAAACCGCTGCAGAAGAATTCCAGCCATGAGATAACAGGATTTTCAAGGTCAAAGCTACAGTCACAGGAGAGAGAAGAAAAGTTCGAAGGGGGGAGAGCTGCTGTTCTTCTCCCTTTCGCTCTCTCTCCCTTCAGCAGGGTAAAGACTGAAAAATAAAACCCTGCCACCTGTAAAAGTTTGTTGGGGTGAAGAGACCCCCCGTGCGGCTCACAGAGGAACTTGTGGATGCACCAGAGATTTGTGACTTTAACAGAGAGAAAGCCTTATGCTGGAGTAAAAGCGGCTCAGATGAGGCAGAATCCTGTTGAAGATTTATAACCCTGAGGGGGATGACGACCTACGCTGGAACAGAGAAATGGTTCGGGTAGGGATGTTGGGATCCATGTGTGGGATCCGTGCTGCTGGTGCTGGAGATTTGTGACCCTGAGAGGACCTACGCTGGAGCAGAAAATGGTTCAGGTGGGATATTGGGATCCGAGTAAGGGATCCAGACTAGACCCATGCCGAGAAGTCAATCAAGGACTGTTCTCCCATGGGGAGGGACCTCCATAGGGAAACAGGGGTAAACTCTTAAACCATTATCCCCTGTAACCCTGTGGAAGAAGATCCATAGTAAGCAAGTGTCCCCTTGCAAGTCTATGGAAGGAGACCCTTCAGGACCTGGGTAACCCTCAGCCTTCGGTTTTAACCCAGGAGGGGGGTAGGCCCAGCCCTGGAGGCCAACACAGAATGAGAGAGAGATAAAGAAGTTCCAACTGCGACGAAAGTGCTGCAGAGTTACTAGAGAGAGAGAGAGCTGGAATTCTGAGAACAGAAAAGAACTGCTTCTCCTCCTTGGACTGATATAAAGACAGGTGGGGGGAGAAGTATCTTCTGTAAATACATAATACCTTTTACTTAAGTAGAATTGTTGTAAATATAATTCTTTAGTGTTAGCTTGTTAATAATAAATACTCATACTTTTTTTTAATTCAGTCTCTTTTTGTCTGCATAAACCTTCTCTCAACTAATAGTAATTGTATGAGGGGTATAAAAGTAAATTGAGCCAGGGCAAAACCACGACAAGCAGTTAGTAATTAGTAAAAGTTCAGAAGCATACAGTTCCAGTCAGAGTAAACTACTGTGTGAGACCTCTTTTTTTTTCTTTTTTTTTTCTTTTAAGACTACATCATGAGTCTGTAAATTATGTAGCATAAGGTATGGTAATACTGGTTTTATTTTGAACTGACCTTCTGGAACTGAGTCATTGTCATAATTTGGAAATTTAGATACTAATAACATGAGTATTTTAATAAAAGCCTTTCTCTCTAAGGTAATGTTTGAATAAATTCAGATTTTTTCCTTTCCCAAAGACAAAATGGAAACTGTCCTCAGGCTTGCATTTCTTGTGATCAGATCAGTGGTTACATTGCTGGCCCTGAAATATTGTTCTCTTGTTCTAGGGAACTGACTCTTTTCTGGAGTAAACTGCAGCAAAGGGTAGAGCCTTCTATTCAAGTGTATCTAGAGAGATGTCGTCAACTGTCTGTGTTAACTAAGACTGTTTATCACATTTTCTTCCTGATTAAAGTAATTAATTCAGAGGTAAGGATACTCCTAAAAGAATATTTTTGGCACTTTTAATAGAACTGTAATCAGGAAAATTTATGAAAGCTTCTTGGATAGCCTGTCTTGCTGTATAGCATCAACCTTGGGGCAATCCTAATTGGTTTTAGAAAAAAGGCTGTAGCAACTTCCTTCTACATTAAAAGTTGGTTCATTTTGAATCACTAAAGCTTCTTTGTTCCTTTGGAAGAAAGTGGGGGTGGGAGGCAGGGGCAATAAACAGAAAAGCTGGATGCCAACAACTGGGAGGAAGGAAACACTAAAGGTGAGGCTATTAGCCTCTACTATTGTCCGTGTCCTCTGCATGAGGTATTTTCTGTAAGCAGGCCCTGACATTCCTTGTCATTATTTTCTGTATTTCAAAAATTACAGAAAATGGAGAGCTTATGAAGAAAGAAAATGAAGAGTGTATATTAATATGTAAGAAAAGTAAAATTACAAAAAGGCTTAAAAAGAAAAAAGAAACCAGGAAAAAGAAACCCTTATGAATTGCTTATTTTAACAAATTAAATATTTGCCTTTTGTGGACTTAGATCCAATGTTGTATTAAAACTCTGTTCATCTATCTCAGCTAACCTCACCTTCTAATTTTCTTAATTTCCTTAGTAGTTGCAATATTTAATGTTGATAGCTAAATTGAGCTCTTACAAAGCTTTTTAGTTGGGAGATTTCTGTAAGTCAGGATATTAATTCTAAGAATTAAAATTCCAGTTTTCCTTTTGCAGTGTTCTGGTACTGCTAATCATGATCTCCTGATCTTAAGGATTATTTTTTACCAAAGATCTGAAATAAATTGGAATTGGCAGGGGGGCGGGGGGGAGCAAAATAACTTTCACGGAGTCTTAAGATATTAAGAGCTCCGTCCGCTCCATGCCATATTGATTTTTTTCCAGTGAGTAGTGGATCATTTCACTGATGGCAGAAATTGGAGACCACTTAGGTAGTAGACTGGTGCATTCATAAATTCGCTGGACTTTATTCTCATGTATACCACAGCCTCTCTGTGCAGCCCTGGCAGCATAAAAAGTTTGGAAAGCCGATGTAAACGTAAATTATGTTGCCTGAAGGTATGAATGAGAAAAGACCACATGACCTTTGGAACATTCAAATGATGGAACATTTAACTATGCTTAACTATATTTAGTGCTTTCTGTTGGACTGAAGCCATGTGTTCAGTTGAGGTCAGTTGAAGTGTCATAATCTTTAAAAATAAAAATAAACCTTTTTACTTTAAGTGATTTACAAATTATAGATCTTTCTGAAGATTGTGTTTTTCTTTAACTGTAGCACTTTTAACCATTTGAATTCTACACAGTGTTGATAGATAATACACAGCTTCATAGAAGCTCGTCTGCAATAACTGTGACTCAACTGACAGGCTTTGTTTAATGAAAAGGCTCAGTGTTGCTCTAATATAAACTTAATACCTCTAACATACAGTCTTAAAGCCCTCAAACTAGGCAGAACATACAAATAATTTGTATTTTATTTGTATGCGCACTTCCACATTTTTGTTGTAGCACGAAGACAAATTATACAACCTAAGGAATAGCATCAAAGGACAAACCACTAAGTTTCTTAAAGTAAAAGGTATTACTGTGAACTCCAGATGTATTTTTTCTGACACTTAGAATTGAATAATGACATCTTTCACTTACAAGTATAGAAAGGGTTATGATAAGCTGACTTACTAAAATTAGTCTTGATTTTACAGATCGATGGTGCTGGACTTGCAACCTGCATTGAACTATGTGTGAAAGCACTGCGCTTGGAATCCAGTGAAAATGCAGATGTCAAGATATCTATTTGCAAGACCATCTCCTGCTTACTTCCGGATGATTTGGAAGTTAAACGTGCTTGTCAACTGAGTGAATTTCTTCTTGAGCCCACTGTGGATGCATATTATGCTGTTGAAATGCTATATAATCAGCCCGACCAGAAGTATGATGAAGAGAATCTTCCAATACCAAATTCTTTGCGCTGTGAGCTCTTGCTTGTGCTGAAAACTCAGTGGCCTTTTGATCCAGAGTTCTGGGACTGGAAAACTCTAAAGCGTCAGTGTCTGGCACTTATGGGAGAGGAGGCATCCATCGTGTCCTCAATAGATGAGCTAAATGATAGTGAAGTTTATGAGAAGGTTGAGGATTGCCAGGAAGAGAATAAAGAAACTTCTGTGAATGGGCTTGCTGGCCTTGATGAAGCTACAAGCCTTCTTAGGGGTATCGGAGATGAAAAGCAGAAAAAGAGAGAAATCAAAAAACTCAGAGAGAGGGGGTTCATATCAGCTAGATTTAGGAACTGGCAAGCTTATATGCAGTATTGTGTGTTATGTGACAAAGAATTCCTAGGTCATAGAATAGTTAGACATGCACAAAAACATTATAAAGATGGAATTTACAGTTGCCCTATTTGTGCCCAAAATTTTAATTCTAAAGAAAACTTTGTTCCCCATGTAACTTTGCATGTTAAAAAATCCAGCAAAGAGAGATTGGCTGCTATGAAACCACTGAGAAGACTGGGAAGACCTCCTAAAATTGCAACTGCCAACGAGAATCAGAAAACTAATTCTGTATCCAAACAGGAGCAGCGACCCATTAAGAAGAACAGTCTCTATTCAACAGACTTCATTGTGTTTAACGATAATGATGGCTCAGATGATGAAAATGATGACAGAGATAAACCTTACATACCAGAGATAGTGCCAGTTCCAAAGCCACTCCCTGTTAATGAATTCACATGCCCTGTAACGTTTTGTAAAAAAGGTTTTAAATATTTTAAAAATCTAATAGCACACGCAAAGGGGCATAAAGATAATGAAGAAGCTAAACGTTTTCTTGAAATGCAAAGCAAAAAAGTGATTTGCCAGTACTGTAGACGACATTTTGTAAGTGTTACTCACCTGAATGATCATTTACAAATGCACTGTGGCAGCAAGCCTTATATCTGCATACAGATGAAATGTAAGGCTGGTTTTAACAGTTATGCTGAGCTACTGACACACAGAAGAGAGCATCAAGTCTTCAGAGCTAAGTGTATGTTTCCTAAATGTGGCAGAGTGTTTTCTGAAGCCTATTTACTTTATGATCATGAAGCACAACACTATAATACCTATACCTGCAAAGTCACAGGCTGTGGAAAGGTATACCGTTCACAGAATGAATTGGAAAAGCATGTTGAGGATCACAGCAAGCAGCCTGAGAAAGAGCAGCAGACTGAAAACCAAAATAATCAGCCTGATCTTAGTCAACCTTCTAAAGCCAATGAAAACACCAACGGAGTTACTGTTAAAGAGGAAATGACGTCTCCTCCAGCTGATGACCGAAGTAGTTCCACTGAAGGAGAAAACATTGTTTGGAACCAAATCAAAGCAGAGCCAGTAGGGAATGAAAGTGTAAATTCACCGGCAAGTATACTGCAGCAAGGGGATTCCCTGCCTAGTGCTGGTTCGGAGCAGTCTCCTGTGGGCTCAGTGAAAACAGAAGTGACAGCTCCAGCAAGCAGCATGAAGCTGTCTGTTGTTAACCAAAAGATCCGAGATAATTTTGCAAAAAGAGGTAAATTGGCTGCTATTACCAGTAAAGTAGATACTACTAAACCTGGAGTCCAGCAGTTGTGCCCCTCGGTTGACTCTTGTCTTCCAGTTTTCCAAGAGAGAAAGGAAGAAGACTGTCTCAGTCAGACTCAGAATATTCAAACTGTTTCTGTGACCTCAGACACACTAAAACCAGAAACCCTTGAATCAAAAAGCTTAGAAAGACAAGTGAGCGTTGTAAATCCATTCAGTATGCAGAATCAGACAGGATATCGAAACAGTCTACCCATTTCCAAACTTGAAATTGAAGACAGTATTAAAGCTGCAGCTAATCTGTATAACTTGCCTTTAAAAACTTTAGAAAGTATTACCTTGATTCCATCACAGCCTAACATAAATAGCTCTCTAGTTCCACCTGTGTTACCAGCAACCCCAGTTCAGAAATTTAATTGTCAGGTTGAAGGTTGTACTCGAACATACAACTCGTCACAGAGCATTGGCAAACATATGAAGGCAGCACACCCTGATGAATATGCTGCTTTTAAAATGCAGCGTAAAAATAAGAGACCACGAAAATCCAGCAGTCTGCAAAATGTGCCGAATGATGGGAAGATTGTGTATCTTACGCCGTCGCAAGTGGGCAATCTCAGTGGTGCTGCTTTTACTGCACAGAACAAATCAAATTTGAATCCCAGCTGTTCCAGTCAAGTACAGCATGTCTCAAGTACTCTTTTCCCAACCCACCTGGAAAATTTGGCCAACCCTATGTTGCCTGGAGTGGAAAGTGTCATAAATCCAAGTTTGTCTACTCGTATTAAAAGTGAGCCTGAGAGTGTTTTATGTTCACAAATGGAAAATCTTTCTGGTGCAACCTTACCTTCCCAGTTGGATGATCTGGCAAAAACAGTTATGCCTCTGAATATTGATGGCAGTTCAGATCCTTTTCTTCCTTTGCCTGCAGAAAATGGTCCGATGTCTCTCTTTCCTTCATCAGCAGAGAATCCTCCAAATTCGGTCTTCTCACAACTGGAAAATAACACAAATAGCTTTTCATTGCAACTAGAAGGAAACACTAGTTCTGCTTTCCCAAAAGAGGAAAGTGTTGATCAAATATTTCCCTCACGATTGAGTAATGAAAATAACTTCAGTGAAACTAGTTCTCAACATCCAGCTTCAGAAAAGGTGAAAAAAGATCGTGGCCAGGGCCCAAATGGGAAAGAAAGGAAGCCAAAACATAACAAGCGGGCAAAGTGGCCAGCAATAATTAGAGATGGCAAATTTATCTGTAGCAGGTGCTTCAGAGTTTTCACTAATCCTAGATCACTTGGTGGTCACTTATCTAAGAGGTCTTATTGTAAGCCTCTTGAAGGATCAGAGATTTCTCCAGAAGCCCTGCAGGCTAATGGACAATCTTTGCTTGCCAGTATGATTCTTTCTTCAAATTCATTAAACTTGCAGCAACCCCAGGAGTCTGCCTTCAATCCAGAAACGTGTTTTAAAGATCCATCATTCCTCCAGTTACTTGCAGCTGAAAATCGTTCCACAGCCTTACTGCAGACTATGTTTCCACGAGCCAGTGGGACTAATACCAGTGGGAATGAGGAAGGAAATCAAATTATAAAGCAAGCCTTGGAAAGTGCAGGCATCCCGAGTACCTTTGATAACACAGAAGTACTTCCACGCATAGTGACGACGAGTTGTGTTTCTGGTACGACCCAGATAAATGCAGCTGTTCTTCCCAACTCAGCCACGTCCCCTCTGCTGCAGACAGTCTGTAACCCCAATACCCTGCTAACAGACCAAAACAGGACCCTCAGTGCCAAAATGCCTCCACTAAACGAATGCAAGAGTTTGCCTGGTTTTGCAACAGAGGACTTAATGCTAAAGACCATTGAAAACGGCTTGTGTCCTAGCTCATTTTCTAATACTGTTGCAGCAGCACAAAACTTTGCAGGGAACAGTTCACGAGTTTCAGTTATAAGTAGGCCCAAGAATTCAGGATCAAGCGACTTGAATAAGAAGGGAACCAGTTCTTCAAAGAGGAAGAGAAAAACAACTACACCTCTGCTTGTGCCCAGTATATCACAGAAGGTAGCAGTAAATAATGCAACAGTGTTGGGACTTCTAACCAAAAGTACTGAAGGAAACATGCAAATACAGGGAGAAGGTTTTCAGTCTAACTTGCTTGGAAATTGTGGCTCTCAAGCGGTGGTGGAAAATCTCACACAAAAACTCAATGTTGACAATCAGTTATTTATGGCCAGTATCAAAGAGAATTTCAAAACAAATCTCGAGGCTCATAGAGCGCTGCCCCCTTTAACAGTAAAAACTGAAAATGGGGATTCCCAAATGATGACTGTAAATTCTTGTGTGCGAGCAAATTCGGGGGAACAGATTACAAAAGACAGTGTTATGCAGAACTTTGAAAAAACCTTGGAAATAATTAAAACTGCTATGAATTCACAGATACTTGAGGTGAAAACTGAAATTCAGGATACCACTGCTGATTCAGGACAGAACTCGCGAGTAAATAATGCACAGGCTTCCTCAGAAAATTCTGCACCCAGTGTAAAACTGCCCACTCCTACGCAGTTTTCTGGGCACACTGGGAATGTCACTGCTGCAAAGGGTAGCTCTGCTCAGTCTGAGACATCTCAAAAGGATGATACCAAAATGCTGGAAATTTTGGAGGGCTTGCAAAAAATGAAGCTGGAAGATGATTCTCCCGTTCACATCTCTGAGACTGTTTCCCAGTGTCCTCCAGCAGACGCGGTAGCACCAGCAGTCCCGACTGGATCAATTGAACATAAGCCCCTCATCCAGATATCTCCAGAGGCAAGTAACATTCAGTTTAGTGATAGAGTTAATAAACCTTTTGTATGTCAGAATCCTGGCTGCAATTACAGTGCTATGACAAAAGATGCATTATTTAAACACTATGGCAAGATTCATCAGTACACTGCAGAAATGATACTAGAAATCAAGAAACATCAGTTGAAGTATGCCCCATTCAAATGTGTTGTAGCCTCCTGTCCAAAAACTTTCACAAGAAACTCTAATCTCCGAGCACACTGCCAGCTTGTACATCATTTTACAACAGAGGAGATGGTAAAATTAAAAATTAAAAGGCCTTATGGCAGAAGATCTCAAAATGAAACTGTAAACACAGCCCCACAACCGGTTGAAATAAAAACTGTGCAGACACTAGTAACAGAAAACAAAACTGCAGCTCCATTGGTCAAAGAAGCTCAGATAAAGGAAGTTGTAGAGCCTGTTGAAGTCTCGGAAAAATTTCTACCAGAAAATAAGATTCCTGAAAGACTGGAAAAACCTCCCCAAGTGGTTTCCATTCCACTCGAGCAGCATAATGCAGCCTCTTTTGGTAGCACAGACGCACAACCCAAAGCACGCAAGGTTAGGAAGCACAGAAAGGAGAAAGAGGAGAGAAATGGTAGGAAGCCTGTAACAAAGTCTCTGGAGTTTCCCACAAGGTACAGCCCTTACAGACCATACCGCTGTGTCCATCAGGGCTGCTTTGCGGCTTTTACGATACAACAAAACCTAATCCTTCACTACCAAGCTGTGCACAAATCAGACCTTCCTGCCTTCTCTGCTGAAGTGGAGGAGGAGATTGAGCAAGGTAAAGAGGAACGAGAGGAGGTGGAAACCAAACCTGCCATCAGAGAGTTCAGGTGTGAGGTGAGTGACTGCTCCCGCATCTTTCAGGAAGTTACCAGCTTGATACAACATTACGTGAAGCTTCACAACATGACCCCAGAGCAGATTGGAAACATGAAATCAGCCCTAGAGGTGGGAAGGTTTTTTTGTGACCAGTCTCAGTGTAAGGCTTCGTTTACAGAGTATCTTAACTACGTAGTGCATCTTGAGACAGATCACGGTGTTAAGATAAGGCCAAACAAAGTAGAAGATGACGGTGTATTCAAGTGTGACTGTGAAGGCTGTGACCGTATTTATGCTACTAGGTCTAACCTCTTGAGGCATATTTTTAACAAACATAATGACAGGCATAAAGATCATCTAATAAGACCCAGGAGACTGACACCAGGCCAGGAAAACATTTCAAGCAAAGCAAATCAGGAGAAACCATTGAAGTCTAAACAGAGAGGACTCAAAAACAGATCGGGAAAAGAAGGTAACAGGCTGTCATCGAAAACAAAACGAAAGAAAAACGTGCCCTTGGAAAATAAAGACTCAAAAGAAATAGATGTTGAAGAAAATCAGTCTTATTCACTAAAACGTGGCAAGTATGTGTATTTAATAAAGTCTAGAGACGATGCCTTGTCGGAATGTACAAGCAAGTTCATGACTCAGTATCCATGTATGATAAAGGGATGTTCATCTGTAGTTACAAGTGAAAGTAACATAATAAGGCATTATAAATGTCATAAGCTGTCCAAAGCATTTACTTCCCAACACAGAGATCTTCTTATTGTATCTAAAACGCAGTCTGTCTCCCAAGTAAAGGAAGCCACTTGTGAGCAAGAGGAAACTGATAAAAAAACTGATGTGAAAGAGCCTGAACCGAGTTTGATAGTGAGCAATAATGATTCAAGCACAACTACCTTACCACAAAAGGAAACTGAAAAAGGCGAAAAGGATGAAGTGGATGAACTAACAGAACTATTCATTACTAAACTAATTAATGAGGATTGCTCAACTACTGAAAATCAAGCAAAAATCTCTTCCAGTGTAAATAGTGACTTGCAGGAGACCAGCTCCTGCTCCTCAGAGAAGCAAAAATCAAACAACCTGAAAAGAGCAAATAAAGAAAAAAATGTATCTCAGAATAAGAGAAAGAGAGCTGAAAAAACTGAGGAAGCACTGCCTGTTGATGTGAGTGGCACGCACAGGGAGGAAGAGACTGCTGTTGCCATTCAAACGGCCGAGGAGCAGCCTGCGGCCTTTGACTGGAGCTCGTTTAAGCCGATGGGTTTTGAAGTGTCATTCCTCAAGTTCCTTGAAGAGTCTGCTGTGAAGCAAAAGAAAAACACTGAAAGAGACTACCACAGTGGCGGAACCAAAAAAGGATCCCATTCAAACTCACGGAAATCCAGTGAGAAGACCCCCGTAGCAAGTGATGTCACTTGGTCATGTTCTGAAACTGAAACCCTTGTACTGTTTGCCAACCCATCACAGCTTCCATGTGGTGATAATGTAAAGATAGTTTTAGACAAGACTCTTAAAGACTGCACTGAGCGTCTGTTGAAGCAACTTCAGGAAATGAAACCTGTTGTCAGTTTGAGAAGGCTTGAAGGACGTTGGGAGGATAATCCAGAAGTTATAGCTGCAAAAGTAATTGTTTTGGGTATTGAGGAAGGGGAATCAAAGTACTGAAAACCTAATGTGTTTAACCGTGACCTGTAATAGAATTTATTTTGAATAGGAAGCCATCAAGCATGCTAGTAACTGTGGAGCTCTTTTATTTTGAAGTGATTTAATCTAGCAAAAAACATGACATGAGTCATGTAAATGTCTTATTTGTTTTTATCCCTATGGGACTTGAAGAACAGAGTAATTGCTTCAGTTCTGTAAATACTTTATCAAGACCTCAACTTTCTATCAGATTGTCCTTTCCATGAACTAAATCTTTGTGAGTTGTCTGTGATTGTTATCTTTCACCAGGTTACTTCTCATGTATAACAGTTTTCTTTATTTGTAGATACAGTTTTTTTGTATATATTTATTATTGTAAATCATTTGCTGCCACCAGCAGTCTGTAAGTCTAAACTATTAAATGACACATTTATATTCGGAATTTTAATTTGTAACTAAGTGAGCAAGTTTTTAAAACTGTCCTTCAATCATTTTAAATTAAGAACTTTTGAACTAAAGCTAGCTAAGTCTGTCATATCCAGTTTATTTTGCATAAAGCATTTATTTACAGAAGAGGAGCTGGATAAGATCACATTTCATAGGTTAAATGTACTGACACACTCTCATTTTTGTAAATTTTGACATCCAGTATCTATGGATGATATTCATATGTAGTTAACACATAAATATAATAGTTTTCTTATAGCTACATTTTTCATTGCTTTTAATTGGATACAAAGCATTTATGATTCCATAATAAAAATGGAAATGTGAATAAAAATAGTTTGCTACATTGGAGATTTAAAACAATATTTGGTATTAAAGAATCCGTTGTGAATGTGATAGAAAATTAGTAGTGTGGAGCAGTGTATATATTTGAGGTGGTGATTTGTGAAGTAGCCCAGTATTGCCTTAAATAAAAACACATTTCATTTCTTGTTTTATACATGTGATCTTATAAAGGTTATTTTTGTTTCTGTAACTTAGATTGGTGTATAGTTTAATTTTTGTTAAAAAAACAAAACAAAACAAAAAAACTTCAGAAACCGTTTTTGTAAATAGTGGGTTTATAAAACAGATGGTTTATTTTGATAATACCAGTTTGGTATCTATCCATAAAATACACGAGTCCTTATGCCATACCATTAAAAGCTAAATAAACAAGACACTTTCTGAAAGGGAAGTGATATTCTGATCTTACAGATAAACTCAGTGGTTGTGCTCTATTGATGGCATGGGCTCCCTTTGCGCTCTTCTGCCTCTTGCTGACTGTACCTGGCACCACTCTCACAACCTCTCTTTTCCACACTGGAACGAGCCTCAGAAGCGGTGCTGCTTGTAGTGCCCGGGATTGGAGCAATTCCTCTGTATGCTGCTAACTGAAATGACAGGTATCCAGTTTGTTGAGTAACCAAAAGTGTGAATGTGTTGGTGGGAGCTGTCAGTACCCAGGAATCTTCAGTGTTGGTTTTCACGTGTGATTATCTTGACTCAGATGGGACAAGCCAGCTGGATTGTGTGGTACCAAAAAATTTTTCCTGGATTATTCTCGTTATTGGATGTGACCTACCTTCAGTAATATAAAATAGTCTTTAACTTGGGTGAGATTGGCTGGATTTTTTTTTCTATAAACTTGTCTTGCCATTTAAAGCTTTGTATTAAATGCTACACTTGATTGCTCTTAAGCTATTCACCTGGAATCTTTGACAGTTTTCCTGAATATCAGTCCAGAGGGCACATTCCTACAACCAATTGAAATGACTTGTTGCAAGAGTGAGGATTATGTATGAAACGGCAGGAAGGCAACAGCAGTTCAATTTGGGCATCGCCCTTGGTTTACTTCGTGGTGCTAAATTGCCTACCTTCACAGACAGCCCGTGCTTCCATTTGAACAGAGCCCCTTGGCTCCTCTCGCTTTTGATCCCTCCCAGGTGACTAGACTTGACAGTTCTGCCAAGTTAGTAAATCAAAGGTGTTGCCTGAGAATGATAAAACCAAAACAAATCCTTGCATTTTAACTCTAGGAGAGTTTGTTATAATAGTTACAAGCACACAGTGCCATGTTCTACCTACTAGAGGCCTCGTGGTCCCCCTGGATGGAGCTGCTCTTGGATACCAGTCATGGTGATTGTAGAGGGAGCTTCTTCAGGGGAGAAGAGAGCAGAGATCCTCTGGAGTGGATCACAAATACCACCTGAAATCTCTTGTTTTCAGCTGTACTTAGCCACTGCAGTCACTGTCAACAGACCTCGCAACTGTTAGTCTTTAGAAGAATTTTTGTGTTGTGTGAGTTGAATAGCTTCAGCATTGACATTCTTGATGATAAATTCCACATCATTTGCAGTTCTTGAACTGAGAATACCATACAACTATTTACTACACAGTGATATACCAAAATGCTATTAAAAAAAAAAAAAAAAGACAAAAAATTCCAATGTCATAAATATCCAGAAGGTAATTTCTGGTTTGGATCTGAATGTAGGGTCTGAATTTCTGAGAATGAAATATTTAATACTGTCTCATCCCAATCCAGTTAAAGTAGGTGCTGTACCAATACAATCAGTGCCTTCCCTGACCCTTTTAGGTGGGTACTGACACAGGTAAGCTAGGGTTGTTTTTTTCCTTTTTTAAAATAAAGTGTTTTGAACTTTAAGTGGGGGACCAAAGGCAGGGTCTGGTTTAAGATGTCACAGACTGCAGAGGGCACTCAGGTTTGGTAGTGCCACCTAGAAAGGCTCCCGAGGAAATAAAAATGGTATTTGCATTTGGATGTTTTACCTTGGGTGATGTAGGAAACCTCCCACTGTAGCAGTGGCAGGGTGCCTGAAGGGATGGTTTCTCTGGAGCCTGGAGCTATACCCTGCCCCTGGGGCTGCTGGACAGGATGGGGCTCCAGAGTGGCCAAGGCAGCTCTACCAGCAGCACCTCAGCCTGTAGGGTGCCCCCACACCCAAAGGTGCTGCTGGCCCTGCTGCTCAGTCCCTCTCTGTCTTCTGCCTTGCCTTTTTTTTTCCTCTGTCTCTGTCTTCCAGACTTGTCACCTGTGAACCGGAGTGGGGGATGACATTCAAGCAAAGGCTCTTTCTTTTAACGCCTTGTCGCCATCAGGAATGACTAAAACAGAAGTTGGTGCTGATGGGGAAGCAACCAAATCGAGGAGTCTGGCTGGATGCAGAGAACAGACTGTTTTGTGATTGAAAGTCACAGTCAGCCTCTCCTTGGTTAACTGTGTTCATAAAGAAATCTACTCTTTTCGGATCCCTAATTCAGTGTAAATAAGAGTAGTGGGTTTATTGTCACATGTTTCAGGTGGTGCTTCTGAGCAGGATGGGGGAACTGTGGATTGCACTGGGATGTCAAGTCTATGGCTCTTGCATAGCAAGTGAACAATGCTTGCACAAGTAACACTGGAACCAATTGTTGAATCAGGTGGGGAAAAGTAGTTGGCTGGTTGTTTCAGTGAGTTTCTGTGCCAAAGAGTTGGTTATGGCTCCCACCTGTGCGGGCAGGGACATGCTACCCTGAGGTGTAGGTCCTCTGAGCTGGAGAAGCTCGTGCTCAGCTCTGGCTGGAGCCTTGGCATGGAGAAGGTGATACTATTAAAGGAGTGGGAAACAAGGCCACTGGTACTGGAGAAGTAAGTAGAGGGAATAAACTATCAGCAAATAGGGAAATATTTTTCTGTGTCTTTTTTTCAAATCTGTTCTATCCCAAGGCAAGGAGCTTACTCGGATTTTAAAGAAAATGAAAGTTTATGTAAGACATGGATCTTTTGATGTTTTGGAATATGAATGAGGTAAATATTTTTGTATGAATGTGCATGGAGTGATCATGGGTTTTTGTCCATTACTGTATGGGCTCAGATAAGTTTCTTATCAATTGCTTATATCCTTGTGGAACATAGCACTTGAATTAAATTTTTTAACATGTCTATTTGAGTGACTCAGAAGTTTAGGGGCCAAGCCTGTAAACTCATTTGAACCAAAAAAATGTAACAGCAAATGCTTCAGGGATGTATGGATGAGTGAAACCTAAACTGGAGAACAAAGGCATATATAAAGGCAGGAAAAGGGCTGTGGAAGGGAAGGAGCCAGTAAAAGACCAAATGATGGCCAAGAACAAGGATTCAGAAAGAGATGAGTTTCTGTTCTCTGAGGTTCAGTAAAATCTGACAGAGCTGCCTTGTGTGACGCTCCCTTCCTTTTTTATGAGTTGCACTGTCAAATACTCAAATTTTTCAGTGCATGATGTGAAGGCTACTTGGCAGTTTGCTGTGAGTGAGTTGGTTACACAAAGTTGGTCTGTAATAAATTTTCAGAATATTTCTCATGTAAGGTACTGGCTTTGTCAGAACTGAAGTATCCTCCAAGACTCAAAACATGCTGATTTTGGAATTTATTTATCATTTCATGGCTGTTGGAAGATAGAAGTAAAAATAAAACTTTGAACATACATTCCAAAGAATGAGAGTTCTTGTTTTATGGAAAAATTTTTGGTCTAAGTGGGAATCTCTGACCAGCCACAGAGCTTTAGGGGATGCTTTAAAACCCTTCAAGCGCTGACTTTATATACTTTTTTATTAGGGAGCAGCTAATGCACAAATTTTATCAGAAACCTGTGTTGTCTAAACTGTGTTTGCTTCTCTTCATTTTTTCCCAAATAAACCTTACTTTAAAAGCAATTAATAAATACTTTTTCATTAATGTGCTGTCTTAAAATATATCCTCAATAATTAAAACCCAGACATTTTAGAAACACTTTTTTCTTTCATAGTGTTGCCTTTGTTTTAAAAACATTATGTATGAGGGCCCAAAAGGGCCAAGACGATCTTGGATTTTGCTATCAGTTACTCAAACTGTGGAAGTCACAGTTTCTCAGTGCTCATGGGCAGTGGTTTTGCTTCATGTATTCTTTGGTGGGTTTGTCCAGTAGCTGCAAGAGACTTTCCAAGTGGAATTTCTGTCATGAGCCACATTCTGTGTATGTAGAGTTTTAACAGGAAACATCCTGAATTGCGTAAAGCGCCTTGTCTTGATACAGGTGCTGATTCACCATCACTCGAGGTGCAAAACTTCAGCTGGCCACAGGCTGGCAAGCTGGTATCTGAGGGACTGCTGTCACTGCTCAGTTCAGCAACAAATCCTTATAAAATTAGGTTTATTTTAGAGGGAAAAAACCAAAGCAAAACACACCTTGAAAATCACAGTCTAAAGCATGTAGCTTATTCATTAGTTCCTAAAGTTAATTCTGTAACTGCTACCCCAGTACTCCTAATGCTAAAGGGTTCATTTTGATCAGGCTCAGTACTGATGTCTGTCCAAGGGTCTTTCATTCCAGCAACAGAAAGAGCACACTACCCTGAAATAAGTTTTTTAAGGCACTAGTTTCTGTTATCTTAAAAGTCTAGGTTCAACAGAAGATACATCTTAGCTAATTCTATCCTTTTCCAGTTATCCCAAATGATACACATAACACAGCAGAAGTGTGTGGTATTTAAGAGATACTTAGAAACGGGGGGAGGGAATAGATGATCCTTTTTTACTTTATTTCTACTAGAGGTTTTTCATATTTTTAGATTTCACATGTTCTACAGCAGAGAAATTTACCAAAGGAAAGAGCAGCAGTATTTTCAGCCTTACTTAAGGGACTAGAATCCAGGCTACTCAATACTAGGGACTGCTGGCTACTGTTCTGCCATGTTGTGTGGCCTGCATTTCTCTACTCCCTCCTGGGGAACTGGGAATGACCCGTTCTCTTAAATGCCACAACCACAGAGCAGAAGAGAAGTCTAATGACTGGGGAGCTGCTTGGTGCAGGTGACCAGGAGTTAACTGTATGCTGGTATATGCTGCTTGCACAAGTTTGAGCAAGTGCCTTTATTAGAGGATGCTTTCTGATGATTAATACCCTTAAAATTGTAAAGGGCTCAGATGCTTTCAGGAGGAGGTGCTCCATAAGAAGCTAAATAAGCGAGTCTGTCTTTGTCACCATGGGCTAAAATAGATGTGTCTACCTCTTCTTTTTTCTTTTTTTGATATGTTTGCTAGTCCGCTGGAATGGGCTGGTGACTATACAGTTCACTTCAAACACCAGCACTTTCCTATTACGGTTTCAACAGTCATCAGATCCACCCAGCTGACAAATGCTGTACATCCCCTTGCTGTTCAGCTTCTTAATCAATCCCAGGTTCTTCCACCTCTGCATATAAAAAGCCTCTTTTTGCTTGTACCAAAGCAATTCTGTGCAATATTCAATACACAACTGTAAGCAGTTGTTTCATAAGCATTTATCATAAGCATCTGTGTTTATATTAAAACTCCGTGGGATTCTCAGACTTCTACACTTCGTGTTTCAGCATGAAAAGATCTCTATGATTTTATGTATGACATATATAATGTAACTGAATTGATCAGCTCAAGTAATGGGGAACTAGTAGAGAAACAGTATTTCCTCTGTAACTATCCTTCCGGTTCCAAAAAAGCGCTGATTGGAAAAGCAATTTGTCAAAAGCAGCTTGTGTAATGCGAGGGTGGTCTCCAGCCTTCCTTCAAGTCAACGGGGAACGTTTTTCATGTTCATCTTGTATATTCAAGGCAAAGATGAGGAGCTGTCAGGGAATCGTCCTGCAGCTGCTGCTCTGTTGTAACCAGTGATTTCTGAGTTGCGACAATTGCTTTTGGAGCCTTGCTGTTTCTTCATGTTTCTCTTCAGATAACATTTTAGGGAGTATTTGAAAATGAGATAACTCAATTCACTTAGATTTAATATGATGCACAGGCATGAAGTTGCAACCAGAAAATAGAGGAAAATCATCTTCTCTGTGGGTTTGGAAATATAGCAGTCTACGGTACTGGGACATGGTCTTATGTCACATTTCACAAGATGCGGTATTTTGAATCCATTGTACAGTTTATAAAACAGAACAAGAAAAACTATTTCAAATCCTGTTTTTAAAATGAGGCTGATTAGGTAAGTGCACAGCAACCCACCATCTATCTCTCCTGGGTTTCTATAAAGTTTCTGGTTGTGGTGTTTCTCTCTGTTCTCTCTGTAAGCAACATGAAAAACAACCAAGAGTGAAGGGGTGGAGACCATGATTAATTGCAAAGCCCAAAGTCTGATGTGGGACACAGGGAAAAAATGGTCAAAGCAGACATTTTCACAACCAGGCTGCTTGATATTGCATTCAAATTCATCATGTTCATATTTCCAGATGTTTTCTGCGGCTGCAACATAAACCAGTAAGCGGAACATGAACACAACGGCTACCCAAATTCTTCCAACTCCTGTTGAGTATTTATTCACTCCACTCAGCAGATCACGTAGGAATCCCCAGCTCATTTTTCTCTTCAAGGAAAGAAGGAAGTGCTGTATCAAAGAAACACAAGATCAGAGAGATGCTTCCTCTTGGGTGAAGAAAAATGAGACATTCATTCAACATGAAATATAACCAGTAGCTGAAATAATTTAAAATAATTAGGCATTTAAAAAGGAAAACAACAACAAGCTGATCTTATTTTTGATAATTTGTACATTCAGAGGCTATTACACAAAATTTATGTGCTGTTTAAATACATTTTCTCAATTAGGCTGAAGCTTAATCATGCTGGTAAACTGTCCTCTGTGAGAAATGTGTGTGTTCCCCCCAAGAATCTTCTGACTGTCAGGTAGAGCTTTCTCTGGCAAATTCAGGCTGGCACTCTACCACTGAAGTACACTTCACTTAGCCCTGCCAGTTAGGCAAATACTAAGCACAGGCAAATCAGATTTCACTTTCAAATTTATGTGTAGGAGCCACGTGTCCCATAATAACTTGACTACACAAGTGCAAATTGATTTCTTTGTGGTCTAACTTCTGGGTAAGCTTGTGCCATATTTTAAATCCTTAATTGTATTTTATTTGTTGTATTTCTTATCGTGTATATCATGTGTATATCTTATCACTCCAAAAATACATGTGCGTGTGTGTATGTTACAGTTTCTTAACTGCACAAGTCTTCCCCTGTCCTAAATCCGTAACACTTATTTTGGAAGAGCTGTCTAAGGGAGCCACTGGCAGTGAGACTCATGTCAAAGTCAAAAGAAGACCTGAGGTAACCACCAAGAATATACAGTCACCTTTCCACCTGACCCTATCTCCAGGTCTGATCTTTGGGGACATCAAGCTCCCTTGTTTTGTAAGAGCAAAAAGTAAATGTATTTCCAAGACACAGAATTTCTGGGAGATACAAGAAGGGAAATCAGAAGTTTCCAGATCTTTTGTGTTCTTTTAATGTCCTTATCCCATCTCCTGCTCCTGCAAGCTCTGCCTAGCAGGAGGGGAAATGTACACCTCTGTGGTTGCAGTGGCACATACAAATCCCATCGCTGTAGCTGCAGTTACTGCTGATGTATGAGCAAGTTCATCCACTGGCAAGGTTGAGTACAAGTAGCAATCAGGCCACAGCATCACAAAGCTTCACAGGAAATGTTGTCAGGCATTGGAACAGGGAGGTGGTGGGGTCACCATCCCTGGAGGTGTTCAAGAAATGAGTGGACATTGCACTTAGTGCCACAGTCTAGTTGACGAGGTTGTGATCAGCCAAAGGTTGGACTTGATGATCTTGGAGGTATTTTCCAACCTAAAGGATTCTGTGATTCTGTAAAGCTCAGCACCTCTGCCTATGGGCAGCAAGGTTATTTGGGTGTTCCTGCAGTGCTACCATTAGAGCTCATGACTTACCTGAGGAGCTCAGGGACAGCTGCAGGAATTAATATATTGCTGATTTATACTGGGAGGAATGGTTACCGAGCTACTTCTTTATGCCGCAGATAAAAAATACCAGTTAGCTTATATCCTTTCAGACATATGCTCCTATGCTTTTAAACGTGTTTGGAAGATCGTGACTCTGTGAAATAGCTTTTTAAAGAGCTGTTTCTGTCCTCCATGTCTGTAAACAGAGCTCAAGCAGAAGATTAAATCAAGTTGTTGAAGACAGCAGCACCAGGCTTTGATGCTTTCTAGGTAAGTAACACGCAATCGCTGCATCAGTCTCAAAGGAGCTGAACAGCAAAGTGTGATGATACCACTCTGATAAAGCACAGGCAAGGAAACAAAGCGTTCACAGGAGCAAGTATGAATGTGAGCACATATGTGTGCATCTTGTGGATGAGCTGTTCCTCTAGAGGAGATTTGACAGAAAACCTAAAGAGGCCCCTCCTAGGATTTTTAAGATGTGCCCAAGCACTGCTGAAGGGAAGACTGAATTTTGTTATGCCATGCAAAATGAGTACAGCTGAAAGGCGCTTTTGCTAATGGCCACAATAACCACACCATCCTTTTCTAATGTAAAAAGCCTGATGTCACCTATCAATCCATGCCTGGAATTATACCAGTCCTGAGCCTTCAGCTGAACAGAAATAAAAGATATGCTGGGTCACCAGCAAGGCACAAAAATCAGTGGCAACCAACACTGATAGAAATCAGGCCATGGAGATAATTATAGACTGAGAAATCTACCTTGAGGATTTCACAGATCTGAAGATGGTTCCTGGTCTATATGCTCTGTTGAGGAGAAACTGAAATCTATTAAAGGACTGCAGGCAAGGTCTTGTGGCCAGCAGTGTTTCTACAGCCAGAAGCCTGCAGAACTTTGGTTATATTTTTTTCCACTTGCAGCCTTCATATGATATTGAGAAATGGCTGTATAGGACATTCAGCTTCAAGCCTAAAGGGCCACGGAGCCTGTTTCGTAGTAGTGTTTGGGTTGTAAGTAGCACAGCTCCTCTGTTCAAAGGAGCTGCTAATGTGCCTTTAAAAGATTTGTTTGCTTTATGCACTGCTCTTGCTATAGATGTGGATGTTAACTGGTGCTTTTGTATGCTTTGAAAATACAATTAATTCACTGAAGCCTTGCAAAGAATATATGGAATGGAAAAACTAAAATGTACCTCAAAGATAAGGAGTTACTCAACAGATAAACGAGAAAAATTGACTTCATGGGACAGCAAAGGCACAGACTGATGAGAGGTTAAGTTAGCTGAGGCTAGAGAAGACAAAAACATTATGTGGGCTGTATGAAATTCAGAGCAAGGTGAGGATTCAGACAACAACAAAAGAAATCTTCTAATAAGCACACAGCTGAGCAGTAGGAAAAATGTGACAGTGTTATGAGGTTGTGTAACACTTCTAAAGTGGCAATACACATCAAAGCAGAGGCTGAGTGGTGTCAGGGTGTGACACTGGCAGAATTATATTCTGACTCACCTAAGCACAAGAGAAATAAAAACGTGATTCAAGCCTTTGTAGACAAAATGAGAAATTTCAGCCTTAGCATTCAGAGGAGGTTCATTTTGTGCAGAATGAATCAAAGGGAGTCAAGAAGGGAAGCTGGCTAAAGAAGTAGAGTAAATTGTGGAAAATGTAGATTACATCAATTTACATCAAGGTAATGTCCAATGCTGAGGCTAACAGTGAAATTACTCAAATGTTTAAAAAAGCTACAAAAGGGTCAAAGCAGGATGTATTTGGCACTGTGGACATAAAGACCACAAAAAAGACTTGGTCTTGATGGGAAATTGCAAAGGAGGCACTAAAGAGTCTTAATCAGTAGAAGATGGATTGTTTCACAGAATCACAAAATATTGAGTTGGAAGGGACACACCAACTGCTCAAGAAAACGTTGCATGGAGCAAGAAGTGAGGCTAGATTTACCTCAAGCCCTTGCTCGATACACATATACACATGCACACCCCAATTTGGACAAAAGCTGAAGATTAGAAATACATTGGTTTGTTTTACTCATTTCTGACTGAAGTTCAAGTGATAACCATGAGAACAAGTTCTGCCAGTCAGTAAATAGAGCAGGTCATCTCTCTTCCTCCTCACATACATCATTTACTCCCTAGGTGTGGCTTAAACCAACCACCACCAACATACACACACATTTTGTCCTGCTCACTAGAGACACAAATGACCAGAAGAGCCTCCCCACCTCTTGGTTTCCCTCAGATGTATGAATAACTTGGTTTCCTCCCTTGGGGTTGGGCACGTGCTCTGCTGAGCAAACAGAGTAAGCTGAATGCACCATTAACTTCTGAGTGTGCTGAATGCACTTTATTGAGTAAAGTGTTTGAATAATGCTATTGTCATTGAATATATCCATCAAATATTCATTTCTGTTATTCTCTGAGGTCTACAGAAGATTGGCTAATGTACATTGAGTAATGCATCTGTTGAAAAGCACAGGGCTCAGAGAATTACTTCCCCTAGATTTCAATCAGCTCTGCTAATTTAATTACTTTAGAAAAAGTATCTTTGTGTTGAGGAAAACTGGGGGAGGGGGGAGGGACAGTAAGAAAATGCAAGAACAAACTGAATAACTAAAAAGAAGTGTCGAAAGCATCCAAAGTGTGAGAGGCACAAAGAGGGCAGACAATTTGGAGCTCAGAGAACTGAAAAATTACAGGTAGAAGGCACAGTGTTCTGGGAAATGGAGGTGCAATGGTGAGAAATAAGAGAAAGAACACAGTCCTGTGAACAGTGGATCTATGAATTCTGGACATGCAAACTGAATTATCCTCACAGGTTGAGAGATGGAAAAGCTCTTTTTTCTGATCTAAACATTCCTGGGGAGTATTTTGCTGTACCTACAACTTACCCTTTTTAAATATATTACAGGAAGAAATAGAACTGTAAATAGTGGCAAAAATGATAAAGCAGAGAGCAGAATTAGAAATCACAGAGGAGGATATAGAATCACAAGATATCAGAGCTGGTAATTGTCTTGAGAGTTCATCCTCTCAATTTTTTTTTACACTTTAATCAAAAAAGCATCACAGCACTTCTTTTCTTTTCTTTTTTTTTCTTTTCTTTTTTTCCCCCAAAACACCAAGGAAAAGAAAAAACAAGCATTGGCACAATGGTTTCCATAAACAACCAAACAAATAATGAAGCATAACTTCAGATGTTCATTAAGTAACTGCATTTTCCCCTTATCTTCTCTGTTGATATAAGGAAATGTGCATCTATTTTATGGTTGCTGAGCCTTTGTTTCATGGACTGCCTACTGCTTCCTTACTGACTACCAGAGGTGTGAAGTCCACAGGTGAAAAACACTGATTTGCTTTTTCTCTGGCTTTAAAACAGCTTAGTTGTGCAGAAACTATTCCTGACAGTTCACTAGGCCCCATCATGGTGCATCTATTCCAGTGCTCCAGTTTTATAGAAGAGGAGGGATGAGGAAACCTCCTGGGAACCCCAAGGAACAGTATAACTCGATTCAAAGTCACACTACCAAGCTGCACATGCATCAACTGTTCAGACTGTTTCACATCTGCAATAGGAGATGAAAAACTATTACTACAAGCCACTAACCTTGCAACACCTTTGGTTCCTCTTCGATGGCGAGAAAGCCAAGGTGATCTCCAGGTCCTTATAAGAGAGTAAACAAGAGAGAACAGAGGCCACAAAAGTTAACTTTGACTTCTTCAGACAACTCATCTCTTATCATAGAATAAGCAAAGCTGTAACCTTAATACAGTATTGATACTCATTGCTTTTTAAGGCTCTTCAAAAACAAGCCAGGTAAGGTGTGACAGCCCTTGAGCAAACAGAGCTCTCCTGGCCACGTGCTGGCCAAGTTGTTCACTCCTGCCACGTCCGCTGCTACTGGTTGGTAGTACAGCAGTCTGTGCTTCTCAGGCTGATGTGAGCCAAAGGTTTCCCACCTATTTCATCCTTCAGATGCTTCTAGTGGAAGATGGAGGCCCCCAAAACGGCAGAGGTAAACATACTGGCTTGCTCTTGTCTCATGGACAGACAAAAAAGTAATCTGTAGACACTTTAGGATGAACTTCATTGATATAAACCCTTCATTAACATGTAATAAGAAAGGGAGTCTTATCCTCAAAACATTGACGATATAGACAAAGAAAACACATGCTGTTGAGGTGGAGATGTCCACCAGAGAGGTTTATTCAGCATCACTCAGCACATCAGAAGCAGAGCTATGGAAACAACCATGATCTCTCATAGCCCAGTCCCTTGATTGCTTTCCCCTTTGCCTACTGATTCTAACCATTCACTGTTCTGTGCCTATTATTAACTTTCAGCTCCTTGGAGCAAGAAATAAGCCCTTTGGTACCTTGGGAAATAAACACCTGATTACTGTGATATTAAAAGCAGAATTCCACAAACAACTGAATAGTGCTTAAAATATACATGTGGTGTGTAAAAACACTAGCCTAGGTATTTATTTGCCAACCACTACAGAAAGGAAAAGGCTAGATGGAAAAGGGCTCAGCTGGTCATTTAGCACCATACTGAAGCTGGTTGGTTTGGCTTCTACACCTGACTTTTGCATGGGCTTCTGCATTTGGGACAAAGCTTCCTTTCTGGGCTGCGGGATTAGCTGCCAAACATTCTCATCTCTGAAAATACAACTTCTAAACTACATTTTCAGTGGCTTTGTAACATAAAGCATGCTTGTCATTATTTTTATAGCAAGTGGTGATGAAATCCTGTCTTGTTTTGTGTTTAGGGAAACCACAACCACCACTTAAAAAACCAGCAGCTGCTGAGTGTGATGTTTTGCCAGCTGCTAATTGCTGTGGTCTCTTCTCTGCAGCAATGAATGGGTTTTGAGAGAGGGCAGACACAGTTCACTGCTTTCTTTGTTACTCCGTAAATTGTGTAATTAAAAAAAAAAAGTTCAGCGAAATGACAATTTTTTTTAAGTCATGATGTACATATTTCACCTACACAACTGCATTTCTCTTCACCTTCATGCCAAACAGATAACCCATCTCTCCCATGCTCTCCTGATACAAACAAAAAAACTCCTTCTGAAGCAAGTGGTCTTCAACATTAATAAGTATTACTGTTCCATTCAGGCTACTGTTACCATTTTAATACTTTAGTCAACTCATAAAATAAAAAAAGAATTGAAAAAGTGAAAAGATTTCCACATGAACAAGCAATCATCAACAGCCCCATAACAGTTTTTAATTCTGTAGTAGTTATAAAGTACTGCAGTAGTGCAGCAAAAAGAGGATTATATCCTTGGTTTATGCTGACTGATGGTACACTAAATTGAGGCTATTATCAAGCCTATTTGACATCTGAAAAACAACTTCTCATTCAGTGAAACTACCTTTCATAACAAGAAACTCTAACTTACCTGCACCTCAGTGAATGAATGCAGCTGGACCCCAGCTTTCTAGTGGAATTAACAATCAACAATACATTTCCAAGAAAGGGAGTTACTCTTTAAGCCTTGAAGATGGAAACTGCTTATCTCCTAGGTAATATAAACTAAATGAGTGAAACCTGATCATCTCTCCTGGCACACTGTTCAAACCAGAACCATAAAGCCTCTTGTATCATCAGAAAGATATGAGGAAACCGTGGCATTTATTTGAAGTCACAGGATTTATCTGCATCTTTTGAGCACTCCCTGGCATCAGCTCAAGCGCTGCATGCTTTGTTCTCTCACAGTGGCAACGGCACAGCCTGAAGACAAGCGTGTTGTGAGCCTTTACTCCCACCCTGTTTGCTCTCTGACATTTTACATCAGATTTGTATCTTGTATTGTCTTGGACAAGTCAACTGTCCATAAAACACAACTGTTCTTTTAGGCACACATTACTCCTAACAGTACATTGCACTGTGCTCAGAAAGGCCTTTCTCTTAGAATTTTAAATTACAGTGCTTTTCCTAAGCAAGTGAAGCCTGAGTTTTCTTATTAAAATGTATTTTGGTTACTCTACATGCTAATCGATTCCCACACTGGACTAGGCAGATGAACCACTCCCCACCAGAAAGCCTATAGCTTTATTTTTAATAAGTAAGCAATGGAATAAATGCTTATGTTCTGCCTTATGCATCTTAATGAGTATCAATGCTTTGGTGGCCATTTTTACCTGGGATGTGCCTATACTGCTGAGAAACATCACAAAATAAGTAGAAAGACTGAATTCCTTGCCTCTTACATGAATTCTTCACAGTATAATTTATTCATAGTATGGTTTATTTAGCTTAAATTACTGTGAGTGTTATCCAGGAATTTTATGTGGATGTTTTGTAGTTTTACAGAGAGGAAGGTACCACATAGCCTAATCAGGACCTTGGTACGCCAGAGAAGCTGATGCCTCTGGAGTGTGACTGAAGGAACCAGATCTTGGAGCTGGACTGCAGGGCCAAACAAAAGCCTGCTGGAGGGAGCTACCTGCCAGATGAGCACCTTCCTCCCAGTACTGCTGCTGAATGCCTGACAAAAGCCATGGATGGCTGAACAAGGTCCAGTTCACGTAAGTAACTCAAAGGCTATAATCATTGTAGGAATACTGGGATTACCTGTAGTACTGTAGGAATATTGTGATCACCCGCAGTACTGAGAAAATTAAAACTGAACTCTAAATCCAAACTTTATTATGGCATTAAAGACGTCTGAGTAATTGTGACTGTCCTACAGAGATGGAAAAGAAAAAAAGCCCCAAGAGCCTATTGAACTGTGTAGTTTCAATCCTATCACTTAAATGTCAAAGCTGTTTAAGCATCTTTATGACACCCACAGCTATATCTCCATCATACCTAGTATATAAACATCAGACAGTGCACTCCACTGTATTTCATTAAGAGGAGCCGGAGGCCACTGAGCGGCAGGAAAGCTGTAACATAGTCACCATCATGGAAATATGGTGGAATAACTCCCATGACTGGAGCATTGCAATGAACGGCTACAAGCTCTGCAGAAGGGATAGGAGAGAAAGAAGAGGTGGTGGGGTGGGTCTCTACCTTAGGAAGTGTTTCGACTGTATAGAGCTCAGTGATAGTGATGATTAGGTTGGGTGTCCGTGGGTAAGGATCAGGGGGACAGCTAACAAGGCAGACACCCTGGTGGGAGTCTGTTATAGACCCCTCACCTGGGATGAAGAGGCAGATGAACTATTTTATAAGTGGCTGGCTGACATTTCACTATCAACTAGCCCTTTTTCTCGTGGGAGACTTTAACTTGCTGGATGTAAGCTCATGGCAGCAGAGAGGAGGCAATCTAGGAGGTTCCTGGAGTGTGTGGAAACTAACTTCCTGACACAGCTCGTAAGTGGTGGGGCCCTGCTTGACCTGCTGTTTACAAACAGAGAAGGTCTGGTGGGAGATGTGGTGTCAGAGGCCACCTTGGGCATAGCAACCATGAAAGTATAGTTTTCAATTTGTGGTGAAATAAGGAAGTGGGTCAGAAAAACTTCTACTTGGGACTTCCAGAGGGTGAACTTTGGCCTGTTTAGGACACAGTTTCATAGAGTCCCTTGGAAAACATCCCCTAAAAACAAAGAGGTCCAGGAAGGCTGGACATACTTGAAGAAGGAAATCTTAAAGGCAAAGGAGCAGGCTGTCCCTGTGTGCCAAAGGATGAGCTGGTTGGGAAGAAGACAGGCCTGGATGAATAAGGAGCTTTCACTGGAATTCAGGGAAAAATAGAGAGTTTATGACCTTTGGAAAAAGGTTCAGGAAACTCAGGAAGAATACAAAGATGTTGTTAGGTCATGTAGAGAGAAAATCAGAAATTCAGAAACTCAGTTAGAACTCAATCTGGCTACTGCTGTGAACGATAATAAAAAGTGTTTTTATAAATACATTAACATCCTAAAGAGGGCCAAGGAAACTCTCCATCCTTTATTGGATGCAGAGGGGAATGAAGGATGAGGAAAAGGTTGTGGTACTTGATGCCACCTTTGCCTCAGCGTTTTTCCTCAGGGAAAACAGACCCCTTAAATGGTAGACAGGGACAGGGAGTAGAAGAGGTCCCCTCAATCCAGCAGGAAGCAGTTGGTGGACTGCTGAGCCATTTAGACCCATTTAGTCTGTGGGACCAGATGGGATTCATCCAAGGGTACTGAGGGAGCAGGCGGAAGAGCTCTCCAAGCCCCTTTCCACCCTTTATCATCAATCCTGGCTAACTGGAGAGATCCTAGTTAACTGGAGGTTAACCAGTGTGACACCCATCTACAAGAAGGAGGACCTAGGGAACTACAGGTCAGTCAGCCTTATCTTTAGTGCTGGGCAAGGTCAAGGATCAGATCATCTTGAGTACCACCATGCAGTACAACCAGGGGATCAAGCCCAGCTAGCATGGCTTTCTGAAAGGCAGGTCCTGCCTGACCAACCTGATCTTTTATGACCAGGCGACACACCCAGTGGGTGAGGGAATGGCTGTGGGTGTAGACTACCTGGACTTCAGCAAAGCCTTTGACATCATCTCCCATGGCATTCTCCTGGAAAAGCTGGCAGCCCATGGCTTGGACAGACTCGCTCTTTGCTAGGTGAAAAACTGGCTGGATGGCCAGGCCCGAAGAGTGGTGGTGAATGGTACTGTATCCAGTCAGTCAGCCTCTTCTCGTAGGCAACCAGAGACAGAACAAGAGAGAATGGCCTTAAACTGTGCCAGAGGAGGTTCACGTTGGAGTTTGGAAAGAATTTTGTCACTGAAAGCACGGTTAAGCATTGGAATGGGCTGCACAGGGCAGTGGTGGAATCACCATCCCTGGAAATGTTCAAGAAATGACTGGACATGGCACTTCATGCTAAGTTGGCATGGTGGTGTTCGGTCATAGGCTGGACTTAATGATTTGGAGGTCTTTTCCAACCTTAATGATTCTGTGTTTCTATGTGGTGGTATTTATATATTAAAAAGCAACTCTAAGGCACAGAAAATCTGAGAGTTCCAGGTTACTGCGTGTCAGAGTTCCTTACTATGGAGTTTGCTCTGTTGAACCTGTGAAATTTCTACCCTCTATAGTCTTCTTAGGAGCTGTGTTCCCTGTCTGAGATCTGAAGAGTGCCTAGATGAGAGAGGGCACTGGAAGGATTTTAACTTATCACAGCTTAAACTCACTGGAAGCTCCAGTGTTGAAGGCAGAGATCAGTCCTGGCCTGCGTCCCCACTCCCAACTGTCTTCCCAACTGCACTGGCCTGCTTACATCAGACTGTCTCACCCATCCAACTGAAAAATAAACTGTTTGTTTGTTTGTTTCCTGGCAATGTTAGTTTTCAGCTGGATGAGAGTTGACCAAAAATTGACATACTCCAAAGCTGAGCAATTCTGAGATTGCATGCAAGGAAGACCAGAGCAACTACAGGTGCAAACAGGTCTCCCTTTGCCCCTCCTTTTTGGAGATGCAGTCTTAGCTCAAGTTTGTCTTTAAACCCATTCTAAGGTATCTGGCTGCATATTGTTGTAATGAGAAAATTCAGTGCTGCACACGTTTCTCTGTTCTTCCTTTGTAGCAGAAACTAGGTTTTTCTTTCCAGAGGGGATGCTATCAGTTTTGATATTATTCTGTTCCCAGTCAGAAACAATTTGCCCACTCATTAATGAAAGTAGAACCAAAGTGCCTTTTTCCTTCCATACTGAATTCAGTTGAAAAAAATTCATAAGCTTGATCAGTGTTTGAAGAATAACAATTGCTTTAATCTTTGCTGGAAGGCTTGTTTTCTCTCAGAGACACAGCTGGCTATCAAGTATTATAGAAGATATACACAAAATGTTACAAAACATAGAAGATTCACTCTAAGAGATTTTCATTTTTTAAAATGTAAATTGCCTTAAAACTGTTTTAGATTGTCAGTGGTAGGGTCCCAACCACTGCATGCTGCTGTCTGAAAATTGCTTTCTTTCAATGGGAATGACAGAAACAAGCAAGAGCTGCTGAAAAGCAGCATAAGGACTCTTGAGAGTGACATGAGTGGAGCAACAACCACACAGAATGTTCTCAATGCCACCTCTGTCTAGATGGTCTGTTTGTTTCTCCTTCTGCAATTATGTCCTCGATATGACAATACTGTTGCATTATGCCTCAGTGCAACAATGGGTCCTCTCACCGTTAGCTGTGAGCAAGAGAAAGTACTTCTAATTCCTAATTTTTGCTTTCCCTTCTCCCCTAGACTTGTTCAGGACAAAACAAAAAAAAAAAGGTCCCGGTTATCAACTCTTAATTAAAATATTGTGAAACTGACAGTGTATAAAACATTTTTAACATCAGGCAAAACAGGAATGCAGACACACAGTTCACACTGATATATGAAAAAGCTAACAAATGCGTGATGAAAGTTGCTCCCTCTCAGTACAAGTCATACCAGTGCTGAAGTCCCACTGTAGATTCAAAAAGATTTTTTTCTTCCCACAACACCTCTGTAACTGTGTTTCTAAAGTAGGGATAATCTTATCAGTAGCTTGAGGCACCCCCTATCTTTATTCTGAAGACAATATGAAGCTCTGTTCCTGGGCGGTACTTGAAATAGGCCGGAGCTGTAAGGTCAGCGAGCAAAGACGTGGAGGCACTGCTGCTGCTCCCCGGACTGCAACAGGCTGGCTGTCGCATGCTAACGATGTCTGCGGGGCACAGCATCGGCTTTGCTCTGCTCCCTACAGAGGCTCTTCTGCAGCTCAAACGATAAGGGGATGTGAGTCTCAAGAAAAGCAGAAATTGCCACTAGGTTCTGAATGGCTACGGCATGCATCACAATACTGAATGCAGAATCCCAGAGGAATTTTTTTGAAAGGAAAATAAATCTCAGTAACAGCCTTAGGTTTGGAAAAGGAAGGGTTTTTTGTGTGGTTACTTCTCAGAAGAGATACTCAGATATTGGACGATGGGTGACTCAGAAATACCATAGATATTTACTATTCTACTCTTTATAGAATCTCTTCTATAAGAAGATGCCAAACAACTTTATCAGCCTTGATGGATTGAACATTTCAACATTCTGTTGGGTCAGATGATAGGAAGATAATATTCACATTGAAGATAAAATACAAGACTTTCCCACAGTCGTAAAGCAAAACCAGAAATAGTAAGCAGTCCAAGCTTTTCATCACTGTTCGGGTAATCTGGTTAGCTGGAACATGCTTAGTACATATGCCAAGTACCAGCATTCACATCAAAACGCAAACCTGTTTCGATGTCCCTCTTTGCTTCTCTTTCTATGCAAATAGCCTTATGTCACGGCTCTTCATATAGAGAATATTTTCTCTCCGGCCAATGGTGTCTTTGGACAGTGTCAAATCCTTCCCTGTGAGGGATGTTTGGACTTACCCGTCCTCCATAATAAATATGGGAAGTGCCTGACAACTAGCAGCAATCCAACAATCCCTGCCACCATTATATGGCAAATGTGTTCTGGCATAAACCCATCCTACCACAACCTGGAACATACTATCGTGACCCTAGCTGACTTTGGATCAGAACTTTTATCTGCATGGATGGTGTAACTGCTGGGAAGCGGTGCATGTGCTGATAAGCAAGTGTGCTTTCTCAGTGGGGTGATGTAAATGTTATGCCTTCCCATATAAAATGTGGGGGAAAACTGCTTGGGAGCTCTTTTACATTACTGCTAAAAACCTCCTTTCCCCTCAAGAAAATCAGGGTACCTTCCCAAAAACAAAAGCTCCTGCAAAAACCTCCTATTGGCTTCTTTCAATTAGACAAACATCAAAACAAATGAGAGCAGCAAGCTTCACTTGCATTTCCTACTCAATAGTTTCCAAACAAAATCAGCTGTGTGACATATGCCGCCAAAACAATAGCTACCAGATTAGCAGATGGTATGTTGTGAATTAAATGTTGACACAAAACCCAGACATACCACTCAATCCTCTCTTGACACCAAAACTTATTTCCCTACTAATTTTCTCATCTTATATTTAGTCACAAAAAAAACCAAAAACAAAAACACAATTCTTTAGATACTCCATTGGGATTTAGAAGGGACAAGCTAACCTGCAATATACTATTACTCTGCCATCTTTCAAAAAAAAAAGAAAAAGTAGCTTGATTACTGAAAAAAACCACCAAACCTGTGGAGCAAGTGGTTTTGAGAGACCAGATACCTCCACATATCATAGAATCATAGAATCATTAAGGTTAGAAATGACCTCTGACATTATCAAGTGCAACCTTACACCCAGCACCATGTTCACCACTAAACTATATCCAAAAGCGCTGCATCCACACACTTTTTGAGCCCTTGTTGGGCAGCCTGTTCCAACACGACTACTCTTTCCAGGAAGAAATTTTTCCTAATATCCAATTTAAACCTCCACTGATGCAACTTGAGACCATTTCCTCTTGTCCTGTCACTTGTTACTTAGGCAAAGAGACTGCCCCCCACCTGGATACAGCCTCCTTTCAGGAGTTGTTGAGAGCAATAAGGCCCCCCCCGAGCCTCCTTTTCTCCAGGCTGGAAGACTCCAGCTCCCTCAGCCACTCCTCATAGGACTTGTGCTCCAGACCCTTCATAATCTTCATCATCCTCCACCGAGCCAGCAGAGGGGTCCAGAACTGGACACAGCACTCAAGATGTGGCCTCGCCAGTGCTGAGTACAGGAGGATAAGCACTGCCCTAGTCCTGCTGGCCACACTGTTTCTGATACAGGCCAGGATGCCATTGGCCTTCTTAGCTACCTGGGCACACTGCTGGCCAGCTATCTGCCAAGACTTATGCTTGTCCCCCTCTGTCCCCATGGTTGCAATATGCTCCACCAAAGTCCTCTCACACATCCTCCAGGTACTGAGAAGTGTGAACTGGGTTTGGTGAGCCCAGAACTGTGTAGATGCTAATCCTCCAGCTGGCTGCAGCTAAAAGTCTGCAATATTATCCATCACATCTCGGTTCTGCCAGCTGGTTACCTAGGGGAGCACTGATCTGTGTCCCTCCCTACCCTCCATTTATTGTTTTTTCCAAAATTTCAAATTTGTCCTCTACTTTCTAATGAGGCTGAAACTGTCCGATGGCACTGAAGTCAGTGGAAGTAGAAAGGGAGGCATGAGCAGTCAGAGGCGATCAGGTGGGCTTTGTTTCCTCTGGACTCCAGGCAATTTTATTGATTTTACTGTTTACAAATGAAAGGAAACAAAACATCACCATAAAGCAGCATTTACATAACCAGGAGTTTCCAGACACCCGAAGTCCTGGGTTTGGATCTACCCAACAGAAAACAAATGTTTAAAATGCAATGTATTTTTCTGCTCAACCGACTGCACTTCCAGAGACCTGTCTCCACGTGAAACACTCCTTCCCCATCCTGGCACTTGGGATCAACAGAGAGGCAAACCTTACTACCCCTCCTTTTCCATTTCCCACGTTTAAAACATAATTGCTAACAGCCTCATTGCCAGCATTTGCACTGCTGGATGAATCCCAGGCAGCTCTCGGGATCGGCGTGACCTTGCCCGGGCGCTGAGGAGTGAAGGACTCCTCTGCCCACAGAGCCTGCTCCTTCCCCTGCCTCCTGCTTATTATTATCCAGCACTGCGCTCAGTTTTGGGCCCCTCACTTAAAAAAGGACACTGAGGCGGTGGAGCATGTCCAGAGAAGGGCAGTATGTCTGATGAGGAACAGCTGAGGGAGCTGGGTGTGTTTAGCCTGGAGAAGAGGAGGCTCAAGGGGAGCCTCATTGTCTCTTTTACCATGCCTGCACTGAGAGAACGAGCAAATGGCCTTTAGCTGAGACACGGGGGACTCAGATTAGACATCAGAAAATAAATTTTTCATGGTTAGGGTGGTCAGGCGTCGGAACAGGTAACCCAAAGAGGTAGGTGGTGCAGTCACCATTCCCGGAGGTGTTCAAGAGGCGCATGGATCTGGCGCTGGCTGTTACGGGTTAGTGGTTTAGGGCTTACAGTGGTAGCGCTGGGTGGACAGTTGAACCGGACGATCTTGCAGGCCTCTTCCAACCTTTATGATTCTATGATTCACAGTGGAGGAAACCCCCACAGCCCCGCCCGAGGGGTACACGCTGCCCCTTTCCCTCCCTGAGGGGACGGCTGAGAGGACTGGCGAAGCCCGGCTCGTGTCCCGCCCCTGCCGCCCGCGCCACTGCCCTCCGCCCGGGAGGGGGCGCCAGTGCGCAGGCGCAGCCCTGCCCGCCCCGCACTGCCCGCGGGGAGGAGCCGTTGGCGGCGCGCGGTGAGTCGGGGGTGGGGGGCGCGCGCAGCTTTACGCTCTTCCTGCCCCTTCTCCGCCGTTCCCTGAGGCGGCAGAGGCAGTGGGAGGGCTGCGTGTTCCGGGGGTCCCTGCCGGGCTTTTCCCCTGCCAAACTGCCCCCTTTGTCCCGGTGGCGACGCTAGGAGCCCCCTCGCCGCCCGCGGGCAGGCGTCTGCCCTTCCCCTGCCCTTCTCAGCGAGGTCCCCCGCACCTGTCGCCCTTGTCCCTCAGCCAGCGGCGTTAGCCCGGGGCGTTTTGCCAGCTCTGCTCAGGTGGCATAGAATCACAGGATGGTTTGAGTTGGAAGGGACCGTAAAATCTTCTAGTTCCAACCCCCCTGCCGTGGGCAGAGACACGTTTCACTAAACAAGGTTACCCCATCCCACCTGGCCTTGAAGGGATGGGGTATCCATAACTTCTCTGGGCAGCCTGTTCCAGTGCCTCAGCACACTCACAGTAAAGAATTTCTTCCATGCTCTAACTAATCCTTCTGTATTCTAACTAACCTAGTTTTCCACTCTTTCAGTTTGAACCCAAGGCGTCTTGAACTTGCCCAGTGTGTGCAAAAGTGAGACTTGAGTCCTGGGGCTGTTGGGTGGATGTACTACAGCACAGTGTGGGCTGTCCTGTCATATATATGTGTTTAAAAAAAAAAAAAAGTGTTTCCTGTCACTCTCTTTTTAGCCAGTGGTCTGAAGACTGATGCTCCTCAGTCCATAGGTAGCTAAAGCATTAGCCAAAGGCAAGTGAAAATTACCCAGCCCATTATCAGGAGATTTAGATTTGCTGTATGAAGATGTGCATCTCCAAAAGTTAATTTTAGGCTGCACAAAATTAACAGGATTGAAAATTGGTATACTTAAGCTGGGAATGTTAGATGACACCAAAGGCAGTCATTAATATATACACAAACTAAAATTCATGCTGAAAGAGGACAAATTGAGTGTGAACTCCTATTCAGTGAATGTCGCTCTTTTAGGTTTTTTACAAAAATGACACCTGTTTTTCATTCTGCTTCTAGAAAGTATTCAACATTAAGTAACATGTCTTCCACCAAACCTTCAGCTGAAAATGAAACACCCAAAGAGAGAAAACCGGGACTGAGGAGTGTCCAGACAACTATGCTCTTCCGAGCTGTGAACCCAGAGCTTTTCATTAAACCTGTAAGATGCTCAAGAAGCTAAATACGCTTGAAGAGACACAGTTGCTTTAAAATAATGATTACAATTCTGTGTGCATTATATAACAGTCTCTTGTCGTGCAAACCACTCAGAAATGTAACTAAAAATATTTTTACTTTTTTCCACTCTGATTATTAAGAGCCCTAAACATTCCGTTGTTTATTGCAGCTTTTATTTCTCTGTTGTATTGTCTGGTTCTTTTGTACCTAGTCAAGCTTCTTTCAGAAAGTCTGTTTACAGGCATATTACCCATGTAATTTGACAGGTTAAGTAAATGGAGCTGGTTTTAATACTTAAAAGGGAACAAATCAGAAAATGCAGACTTCTTTGATATCAACTGAAGGGATTTTTGGTAGCTTTTTTCAATTAGTCACAAAACAACTTATAACCCCATTAAACAAGAAAGGACATAAGTGGGCCCCAATTTTTCTTTTTCTTGCTTTTATAATTTAGTTGATGAACTTGAGGTTTTATTTGCACTTGCAGAACCCAGCAATGAATGACATTTTATGTATATAGTAAAAGCAAATTTTGTGATGATAACAATACAAAATCTCTAATCAAGGTTGCTCGGTAGGAGCAGAGGGCATTGTCCCAGTAGTATATCCAGATGAATTCTGTTAGAAGTTTGTAGTAGTGACCTTTAGTAATTGGGTTTGGCTTATTCATTCATGCTCAAGCAGCGTTTCTGACCAGCAAAATACAGAGCACTGGGCAATGTGGTGTTCTGTCTCCAGAAAGGATCTTCTTTTTGAGAGGAAATTCTTTTTGCTATCAGAACATTCAGTGTGCAAGAAGGCAGTGGTGATTTTTGCAGATGTCACAATAGTTTACTGTTCACTTTCTAAGCTAAAATAGAAGAGTGTATTGTTTGAGTTGAATGAAAAAAGTTTTGACTAAAAACATGCATTATCTTTTTGTTTCTTGTCAGAACAAACCTGTGATGGCATTTGGACTGATAGCAATTAGCCTCTGTGTGGCCTACCTTGGTTATTTGCACGCAACCGCAGAGAATAAAAGAGACCTCTATGAAGCAATCGACAGTGAGGGGTCCAGGTATATGAGAAGGAAAACTTCCAAGTGGGACTGAGAATATGAGAAAGGAAACCAGCAAATGAGTCACAGAACTTTTCAAGGCTGTGTTTTTTTCTCTTTCCATCGCATGATGGGTAAATGTCTCTTGCTATCTAATCCAATTCAAGTTCCTTTATAAAATGCCGTGCCTGTACAAATAAATTATAGTAAAGATACATGCAAACGTAAAAGTGATTTTAAGAATTGCTGTCTGTGATCTCCACAGCATGTCAGAAGAGTGAAATTACCTCAGACCTGCAGTCAGGACTGGTAAATTTCTACCTTAGAAATCTACATGGTAGTTAAGCTTACTTCTCTCTTTGCTTTGATTAAGTGAAATCAGGGTGTTTAAAACACAAAGCATAATGTATTGTCTGTGAAATGAAACATTTGATCTCTTGATCAGTGGAAAGATGATAACAGTGGTACAAGTAAAAATAATTTTAAGGCAAGAAAGATCTGATAAAACTATTGGTGAGAGGTTATATTACTGACCAAAATAATCCATAATTGGATGCTAATATACTCTTCCTTACAAATGAAAAAAGCTAAATCAGTAGCCAGATAGAGGAGAAAAAGTGAAATATTTCTGCTAAGAGAAAGGCAGGAGGAGTTTAGCCATTAGCTGTCCTCTTTGGCATCATACAACAGATCAGTGAACATGCTGGCATCATCCTGCCAGTCAGTAGGTTTAACTCCAGGTTGGCCAGAGCTTGTGCAATTTTCTTGACTAGTCAGCAGGACTAGTTTTATTTAAGTTCCATTCAAAAATTAAATTTCTCTCTATTGCAAAGCAGATTATATAACATTAATTCATTGTAGATTACTGAACTCAAAATAAGGAATGGAAAGTCTAAAATCCACAGGTGCTGCTGAGAGTGTGGCTGGAGGGCAGGTGGGCACGGTGGTGTTTCCCAGGCACGTGTGGTGGTCCCTTGTGAGCCTCTTGAGTGAACTGCACAGGCAGTGTCTTTCTGTTCCAGCACTGAGGCCTTGCCTACTCTGTAGCTGCTTCTGGGTGCCTGACTTTTCCTACCCAGTGTCCTGTTAACCAAACTCCAGAACATGTGCTGGGAGGGCACATACCAGGCTGTGCCCTTTTTCCACCATGGACCCTTATGGATGTTCTGGTTGCACTGGTTTTTCTGGTTGATGTTCAGCTTCTTGTACTTACAGCCCAGTCAAGGGCTCCCAGGAAGCTGAGAGACCTCTTTGTTGACCCTCTTCTGACCAAGCTGGCTTCTGTCAGGCCAAAGAAAGAATATGCAGGAACATCTGCTTTGCCACTCTGGGAATTGCTTTGGGTTCTGTTAGTGAAACATTTTGGTACTGACTGACTGCCTTGAGGGACAGCAGTTGCTGTATGGGATTTCTCTGTATCTCCCTCTAAATCTTCACATTGATTTTCCTCCTGTTTGTGTTTTATAGTTACCTGTATCCTAAATTCATCTGGGCTTTGTTTTGGCTGCCTCCTTCCTGAGAAGGGAAGTGAGCTCTACCTGTGATAAAACTATTTAAAAAAGGCCATTTTTACAGCCTTTAAAAGCAGGTTACCCTCTGTGAGTCTAGCTGCCTGACAACAGCGAGGTTCCTGGGCAAATCTAAAGCTCGCAGGTGATGAAAATAGAATTAAAATGAATCTCTTATTTGAAAAATGGTTGCAAAGGAGTTTAGCTCTTTTCAGTTCATTAAAAATGCATGTCTCATATGTTTGCATGAATTTAACTAATTTATTCCTAAATCAGTGCTACAGCAAGCATTTTAACCCGTTTTTCTTCAGGGTTTTAAAATATACACTTTGACCCATATAACTGCAGATGATTTGAAGCAAAAAAGCCCACTCTTTTATATGTTTGGGAATAATGCAGGCTTTGAGTCCTCTAAATTTTGAATTATGTTTTGTGAAGTGAATATGGATCTGGAAGTTACTGGAGAAAAGGAAGTGGGGTGGGAAGGAATGAAAGGTAAAGGGGTGGGACTGACCCGGTCAGGGTCCAGGCATGTGCATACCAGTGACTGCCTGAGATGGGCCTCTTTGTTGGCTCGGGTCAAGTCCTGTTAACCTGGTTACTTTAGAACTGCCCAGGTCGAAGGAAGACTGAGTATTTAGACTTGTCCTATTACTGAGTTTTCTGTATTTAGGTGTGGCAGCTGCTGTACAGGTAGCTCTTAATGATACAAAAATTATATATAAAAAGGAGGTAAAGTAGTGCAAATACAGAGAATAATGTAGTAAATTAGTGGGTGTTACTGTATCAGTAAAGGCATTTGCTTTTTTAAGTACCTGGTCTGTATCACAAGAACATTGCGTGTACCGGGATTAAAGAGAAAAAACCTCACCTGAACAAAACTACTTTGATAACAAAAATTTTTTGCTCAGCTCTGAAAGCATGGCACCCCTTTGCACACAGCACCAATACAATTTCTTTTGTTCTGCTTTTCTCAATTTCACTCTCCAATAAAGTGGTTATTATCTATGATGGATGAGAGCTGACTTGACAGGAACTGTGAGTCACAATAATTTCCTGGGCAAAGGCTCTTTCAGGATTTTACCAATTCCTTACTGTCCGTGCTGGCTTTCACGTCTTTTACCAAAAACAGTAACAAAATGCTACGATTAGCATTTCTGAAACAGTAGCTATTGTACTGCTCCTAAGATGTCCTTAGACTACATGGTGGGAATAGGAGTTGTTGGCATACAACAGCAAAAAGCAATTAAACAATTAAAAGGCCAAAGCCCACTGAGACACTGCTTAACTATTGCCAGGGAATGTTAGTTCTTAGTGAGTGAAACCAGCCCTGCCCACGTAGGAAGTTCAGGCTGGAAGGGATCACTTCATAAACCCCTTCCTCATCATCTGCCTACTGCATGTTCCTGAGTTGTCAGCACGTGTAAATCCCAATCTCAAGGCAAACGTTTCAGCTAACTTGGTAAAAAGTAATCGCTAGTGATTTTTCTCCTTTCACCAGCTTGCATGTTTTCTGTAGCAACAATTAGAGTTTTGCCTGCAAGCGAGATCTATCAGGAGTAGAGTTCTGACTTTTAATAACTATTACAGAATAATACTAGAATACCACAATAATTGGAAGTCCCCATATGGACTACTTTGTTTGTTGTGCTGTGTGTTGAGAAACAATAAAACCACCACCTTCCAATGCTACTTTTGATGGGATTCAGGAATATAAGCCAACTGGAACATGGTATTACACTCATCATGAGATACTGGGCAGTTTTGTTTCTGAAATCCTTTCCTTGCAGCCTGAGATTTAGGAAAACTCCAAGACTCGTTGATTCTGTGTGTTCTTGGCAGTCATGAATGCACTGATATCTCAGTAAGAAAGAACTGCACCTGCCTGCTGACTCTTAGTAACTCCAGTATATTCGGAGGGGAGAACAGGGTCAGCTGCTCTGCAGTGCGTGAAGCGTTCTGATTTGGGCCTAAGGAAGGTGAAAGACCACAGCAAAGTAGCTGCAAGACCATTAGCAAGTGTTTTCTAAAGCTCTAGTACTTTGCTAAGAACTATGTTTAGCTTCACATTTGCACAGATCATCCCGCCATCCATCAACAGGATGGATGGGATGTTTTATCCTGAATCCTACCTCCTTACACCTGATTCTGTCTCCTGACCTTAGACTGAGGCTCTGTACAGCCTCTTGAGGTTTTGATTTTTTCATGGCATACCGCAAGGGTAACTCGGCGATGAAGCACATTCATGTGTTTGAGGATCTGGCAAGAATCTGAAGTATATGCTAAGCTCTATTTTCACATCAGTTTCCGATCAGCATTGTAAAGTTTTGTAGAAATGTTTGTAAAGTGCTGTGCATTTCATTTAATGTTAATTCTGAAGAGCAGTGTGTTTGGTTTCTATTTTAAACAGCACCAAGAGATAATCAGTGTCCTGACAGCCCTGGCAGCAGGATGAGTGCCATGCATTCCTTGGAGCATAAGGCTTCAGCCTTGCATCAACATGCACGGTGTGAAGTACATCCAGAGGGCCAGAGAGACCTCTTTTTAAATTATTTTCTCTTCACTGCTTAGTCAAATGGACAGGGCAAAAGCTGTGCTACCAAAGTACAACATGCTTTCATTACTGTTGAAATAGCCAGCATGACAGAACTGTGTGTTTACAACCAAAATTGTAATTCTAAATTAAAAAAAAAAAAAAAAAGAGTTGGGTTTTTTTAATGCTTGCCATAACCAGGACCTTCATTCACCTGAAATTTGAACTCTAGTGGTAGAAGAAGTACTTGACCTGAAAAATGACTGGCTTTGTCTTTGTTCGCAGTGAGATGGTGAGCTTGACCTAGCTGGATTTTTAAGTCACTTTCAGCACATTTGACTTCTTTTTTTATTAAATGAAGTTGATGGACTTTGTTGCAAGTTCAGTGTCATGCCTTGTTTCAGCCAGCCACAGAACTGAGTAACGACATTTCTTAAGGACAGTTAAATACAGGCTTAACTTTAAATCTACCATGAAGGTTTGTGTCGATTGAAGCTAGAAAGTGTTTGATTTGCTGAACCTGGTTCCTAACTGAGATGGAGGAGAAGGAAAACTGCCAGCATATGTTGCTCAATGAAGCACACCAACTGTAGCTTTCTACTTATATATGTGCTCAGCACATGCTTTATATGGCTGTTTGGATACCTGAGAGTAGTGGGTTTCTGTGGCTGGGTTTTGGTAGTTGGGGTGACTACAGAGGTGGCTTCTGTTAGAAGCTGCTGGAAGCTTCCCCTGTCTGTTGGAGCCAATGCCAGCCGGCTCCAGGATGGGCTTCCTGCTGCTGTCCAAGGCCGAGCCAATCAGGAGTGATAGTAATCCCTCCATGATAACATATTTAAGAACAGAAGGTTGTTGCATGGAAAGAATTCCAGCCAGGGAAGAGTGCAGTGAGACCATGAGAACAACAATGCCGACACCAAGGTCAGTGCAGAAGGAGTGGCAAGAGGTGCTCCATGCTCCAGAGCTGAGGTCCCTGCAGCCTGTGGTGCAGACCATGGTGGAGCAGCTGTGCCCCTGCAGCCCATGGAGGAGCCAATCCTTGAGCAGGTGGATATCTGAAGGAGGCTGTGACCCTGTGGGAGGCCCAGGATGGAGCAGGGTCCTGCCAGGGACCTGCAGCCCATGTAGAAAGAAGCCCACGCTGGAGCAGGTTTTTCATGGGTCAGATTTGTGGCCCCTGTGGGGGACCCACACCAGTACAG